CGTAGAACATTGCAGTGCTCCCTGAAACGCTCTTTCGGTCTACCATGTCGCTTGCCCAGTCAGCATCAGAGTAGATGACAAATTGCGAGTGTACTCCCCCTGGTCCGTAGCGTAGCTTCATTGTTACTGTCGACCTTAGATATCGTAGCAGGTTCTTCAACGCATGGCCATGATGTTCTGCTGGATCGCTCATGTATTGGCTTAGCTTTCCGAGGGTGAATGCAATGTCTGGGCGTGTAAGAACCATAGCAAACATAAGGCTCCCTATCACTTGCTGGTATTCAGTGATGTCGATTCGGGTGTCGTTGTTAGTGGCTGGCCTAAATGACGTGTAATCTGCGGATGGAATCTTCTTGTCTCTGTGTTGTTTGCTAGACATTCCAAACTTGTCAAGTACTGCGTGTATGTACTGTTCTTGATCGAGGTAGATTGTGCGGCGCTTTCTGTCTCGCGTAACTCGTACTCCAAGGATCTTATGAATCTCCCCTAGGTTCTTGGTGTTGAATCTTCCAGAAAGCTTCTTGTAGAACCAATCAATTTGAGCTCGATCTTTTGCGGCAACAGCAATGTCGTCAACGTAGACGAGGATACGGAGTTGTTTTTCTTCGTGGATAAACATGCACGGGTCGGCAAGGCTTTGCACGAATCCCCATGCCAGAAGTTCTTTCTTTATTAACAAGTTCCAGTCACGAGCAGCTTGTTTGAGTCCATATAGGCTGCGGAGAACTTTAAGGACGTATCCTTTCTTAACTTCTACTCCCTGGGGTTGCTTAAGAAAGATCTCTTCCTTCAAATGCGACTCTGTGAAAGCATTCTTGATGTCAAAGTGAAAACATTCTAGGTTTTCCGCTGCGACAGTGGCCATAAACAGACGTAAGGTGTCCATGCGAACTGTCGGGGCGAAAGTCTCGTTGTAGTCTGTTCCGTGTACTTGCGTAAAACCTCTTGCCACAAGGCGTGCCTTAAACCTCTCAACAGTCCCGTCGAGATTTGTTTTGACTGTAAAAACCCACTTTGAATCAACCATGTTCGCGTCTTTTGGCTTTGGAACTTCCTCCCAGGTTCGATTCTCCATTAACGCGATTATCTCTTCAAGTATTGCTGCTTTCCATTGCTTTCCATACTTTGGGTCGTTGATAGCTTGCTCGTGTGTCTGGGGGATCTGGATTCCTGCGATCTCGGTTGCTGCAAAAGCCTTCTCAGATAGTCGTGTTTGCTCTTCTATAAGGCCAGCTTGGGCTAGCATAGCTTTAACGATCTTGCTAAATCTCTCGTCCTCAACAACCTCTTCGTTAGACCTCTTTCGTTTGGCTTGTCTGGTGAAGTATCGTGGAGCCTCCTCTTCTCGTACAGACTGGGTATACGGTTCTTCGGGTCCCTCTTCGTCCACAAGATTAGGAACCCGCTCATCAGATGGTGCAGTAGGGGGAATAGTCGTTAGCTTCCCTGGTCTTCCTCTGTGACGCTTAACTGGTTCGGGAGTTAGCTCTGCCGACGACAGTTCTATTGGGTTCTCGGGAACTGGCTCCACTATTTCTGCAGGAGATGGTTCCATTGGTTCGACAGGAGATGGTTCCATTAGTTCGACAGGAGATGGTTCCATTAGTTCGACAGGAGATGGTTCTATTGGTTCTGCAGGAGATAGTTCCATTGATTTGGCAGGAGGTGGTTCCATTGGTTCTGCAGGAGATGATTCCAGATCCTTCCTAGGTCTTCCTCTTGGTTTTCGGTCTGGCATCGTATTCTGCGTCCCTTGTGGTCCAGCTGGTATGTTTCGCAGTCGTAGTTCAACTTTTCCTCCAGGGGTGTATTCGTCCACTGATAATCGGCTTGTCCTTGAGGTGTATCCAAGCTCTGGCGAATAGAACTTGAACTGCTTGTTTGTTGTCTCAGAATATCCCATGAATACTCCAACTCTGCCACGGTCCACGAGCTTGTCATGTCGTTGGTCTGCTGGAATCGTTTTGGGGTTGATGTAAGAATAGCATTTGCTCCCCCATACACGGATGTGGTCAATGGATGGTTTCGTTCCTGTGAATGCCTCTTCAGGACTGACTTGCTTTCCATTGATCGTGGGTCCTGTGTTTGTGCGGTTTCGCAGGTATGCGTCTGCTTCGACAGCTTCATCCCAAAACTCAATTGGTAAACCAGCGTCTTTCAGCATTGCTCTCATATCAGCTTCAGCGGTTTGGATGTTTCGCTCAGCTGGTCCATTCTGGTGTGAGGAAGCAATTGTTGTAGGCTGAATTTCCACGCCCTGTGTAACTCTCCATTCCTCGGCTTGCTGTAGAAGTTCTGGTGCGTTGTCAGTTCCAGCAGCTTTAACCTTTTCGCCAGTTTGATGTTCTACAAAGGTCTTCCAGATTTGGAGTTCCCTTTGTGCGTCTCCCTTTTTCTTCAGCGGGATAACCCAGTTTTTTCGCGTGTAACTGTCAATAATAAGGAGGAACCACCTGTTTCCTCGCAGAGATGTTGGAAAGGGTCCTGCAATGTCAAACTGTACTAAGGCTAGCTTCGTGGCCTTATGCTCTCTCAGCTGCTTAGGGATGCTGTTCTTCATTTTCGTCAGAGAACACACTTCGCAGATTTCTATCTTCTCTGGAACTTGAATCTTCTTCTGGAGAGTTGTAACTTCGTGGAGTTTAGCAATCTTTGCAGGTCCTAGGTGTGCGAAGCGTCTGTGATACAGCAAGTATCTCTCCTTTTCATTAACCTTAAGCTCGCTCTTAACTGGTGCATGGAGTTCCGTGCCTAGAAATGCTGTTTCTTGGTATCCATCGGCAATGTGTGACACTACGTAGAGGCCGTCGTCCATAGTTGCTTCAATAATAACCTTCTTTCCTAGTTTGAAGTATAGTGCGTGTGAATTGAAACGACCCTTCAGGCTTGCTGCGCAAATTCTTCTTCCTGATAACAAATTGACTCCAAGGTTAGGTACAAGCAGTACTTCTGACAGCCATGTCGACGATCCATCCTTACACACCACTTGAGCTTCTCCTTTCCAGTCCGCATATAATTCTCCCCCTCCAACCCGAACGACTCTTCGTTTGATCTTAATCATTCGTCTAAATAATGAGGGTTGGTCAGACATGTGAGAGGATGCGCCAGTGTCGGCAGCCCAGGTAGATGGAGAGGCCTTACCGACGATGTCTTTTGAGAGACGGCATGTCTCAATTTCCTCGGGTTCGGAGTCTGAGGTCTCAGATAATTCATCTGACTCTGAATTGACTTCTTCGGCTCCATATGCTTTGCCAGTCCTTTTGTGGGAATTCCTTTGCTTAGGTGTCTTAACGAGCAGCTTAGATGATTTCTTAGCGTCGTATTCCTTAAGGAGCTTTCGAGCTCTCTCACGTCTTGGGCAGTCTCGTACGCCATGGGCTCCATCACAAAGGAAGCATTGGACCGTGAATTTGGCACCAGATTCGGAGTCAGACGATAGTGGCGAGTTCTTATGATTTCGACGCCTGTAAGGCGGAACATACTTCTCCGTCTTTCGGAATGCTGGAAGAGCTTTTTCGTTGGCGTCTTGCTGGTCTCGAACCTCCTTCTCTTCCAGAAACTTAAGTTTCTGTTCAACCGTGAGGTTAAGTTGGGCGTTTAAGGTGTCAATCGTAGTCTTGAATTCTTTCGGAAGTGATCTGATAAGAACGAGTAGTAGTGCAGAGTCCTTGTAAGCTCCGTTGGTGTCGGCGTCTGCTGCTACAAGTTTACGTCGGTAGTCCTTTAGCTTCTCCCATGATCCAACAATCGTGTTCCCGGGATTAAATGTGAACGTTTGAATTCTAGTCATGTATATGTTGGCAGTTGTGGCGTCAGTTTGGGTGTACTTCTTTTGTAGGTAGGCCCAGAATTGGAAGGCAGTATCGTATTCGTCAATGAGGGCTTGGTCATCCTCGCTAAGCGACCGAAACAAGAGATCGATTGCAGTGGCTTCATCTTCTAGGTACTTGTCTCTTTTTTCAATGTTGACGCGGATCTTGGTATGCTTGTCTGTTTCAGCAATTTCCAACTCTTCCATAGCCTCCGTTAGTCTACTAGCTGTTGCTATTTGACAGTGCTGTACCAGATTTTTCTCGCAGACATAGAAGACTTTCTTCCCCTTAAGCTTGACCTTGTTTCGGCGAAACCAAGTATCGTGGTTTTCGGCTGTGAGCTGGGGGATCTTCCATTCTTCCTTCTCTGCAGCCATCTTGTGCGGGTGATGCGGTTGATTCGGGCGATGCGGGCGATGCGGGCGATGCGGGCGATGCGGGCGATGCGGGCGATGCGGGCGATGTTCTGCGGGTGGTGCAGTCGTTATCGGTTCTCGAGCGTGGAGACGGTGTGTGTAAGTATGGTTGCGTGTCAACCGCGTTGTACACGACTTTTTCTCTTTTCCGATTCCTGCTTGAATCTAAGTCCTTCGTGACTTGGGTGAGTGTTTTTGATTCCTTCTCGAATCTAAGTCCTTCGTGACTTGGTTAGGTGTTTAAAACCAATAACGTTGGGTTAGGCAACCGGGCTCATAACCTATTGGAACAAGGTCTCCTCTGGTGGTATGACTACCATAGGGAACCGAGTAGAGGTATGTTAGGTCACCACGTATTGGATTGAACTACACTAAGAGCTGTTGTTCTGTCTTCTTATTATCATGATGATCTGGGGATTTACATGACAGATCATCATTCCGCGTCGGTCCTTCTGCTCGGGCTTACTTCCACGAGCCTCATCCCCGCCGACCTGGACTGAACCTTACATCTTCTCAACATTATTAATAGTTGTCCAAAATGTATAAAGCTCCTTCAACCTCCACGTCCAAGGTGGTGTGCGCATTCACTCACTCAAATCCAACATACGCATCTCCATCGCCCTTTACAATTCCCGGCTTTCAACTTCGGACCCTGAAGACGACCTAATATAATCAACCTCCACCAACGTACGCACCCACCACTACATAATATTCAAACTATCCAATCTTCAAGTCCACTTACCACAAAGTCACAGACACAAACTTCGTCACCATGCACCACGCACTCACCATCTTCAAGCTCCTCGTTACCGCGACTGCCGTCCTGGGAGGCCAATCGTTCGTGGAAAACTGCGATCAATACATCATCGAACGAGTAGATGGTAATCAGACAATACCCTGTGAGGTAGGGACTGTTCCGCCGACCGCCAACGACAAGTCGCCAATCCTTTTCGTTGGTCAAGGAGCCAGTGTGAACTACGATGGCTTCGACGACCGTCCTGATAATCAATACGTCTTCAATAACCCATACGCCGCACCGGGTTCCATCGATGTTTACGCCTCATTGGATCTAACAGACGAATATATTCACTTCAGATTTCCGAAAGGGAGGACGTGTAGGTACAATTTTCTGGAATCTGTCCATTATTTCCATTATGCGTGTAAAAGTAAATAAAGGTGTTCCTAATTAACGGGGCATCGGTAGAGTAGCTTTGGTTACTTTACTCACCGTTTCCAAATGTACATATGGCCGCGTGGCTTATCCTGGTACCCGACGCTTTCCTCCACGTCGACGTTTGTGCATCGCTGCCATGCCTAATGGAGACGCGCAAATACATCAAGAAACTTGCTTCATTACGTCCATGTGCTACCAATATCCGCCGCGCGCAGCCCAATGTAATGTGCACCAGTGGTAGCCCTGCAATCCAAACCAATCCCATAACCAACACCTGTCACTCACGCCATCATGCCGAGATCGCTCCCCACCGCTTTCTTTTCGGTCCTTGTTTCTTGCGTGTCCTGTAGCCGAGTGCGCACGCCATCGCGTTTATTTTTATCCTCAAAAGTCTTTGAGAAGCCTCATGATCTGTGCCCTGATACTGCGCACACATCTTAGTAAGAAGGTCCATTGACGACTGCATGTTTTCTGCCAGACGAGCCGCCATCTTGCACCCCAGACACATACCTGTGCGTCCGAGCTTCTCTTGTTCTCTCCCGGCTGCCGTCCCGTAATCGCCCGCGGTCTTCGTACCGAGATTTTCTATCCCGTTCACGCTCGTGCGCGTCTTCTTCGTCCCAGTCTTCCTTGACTCTATCATGGCTTCTTGTTCGCGCAGTGTCACGGTCACGCTCGCGGGGATATTCAACGTCAGTCGAGTGGCGTCGACGTGACCGGCCGCTGCTACCGCTTCCCATGTCATATGCATCTCGATCGCGCCTGTGGTGTCTGTCGCGCTCACGTTCGCGCTCCCTGACATGCGGCGCACCCTCTCGAGGCGGGCTCACAGGATGCACACTAGTCGGGCCATATCGTACACTGTGCGGGGCGGGAACTGGTCTATAGCTTGTACGTGGTGGAAGAGCCGGCCTGGGCTCATAGTATTTACGTGCCGCCTCCTGCTGAGCATGTGCGACTTGGGTGGCAAAGAGGGGTGATGTAGTTGGCCGATACACGGGTTGTGGAGAAGTTGCTTTTGAGCCTCTACCTTCTAACCGGACAGCATCATGTTGGTTTGAATATCGACGCGCCTCAGGGTAAGCGGGAAAATATCCCGACTGCGATATGGGCGGATCTTGAGATCTATGTGCGCGGAGAACAGGCGTACGGCGTCGCGAGGGCGCTTCATCGGCATCCGATTCCGACTCTGTTGTTGATAGCGAAGATTCACGTCGCGGCGCAGGTGGACGCTTGTGGGAAGGATATCGGGGACCCGGATGAGGGACGCTGGCAATGGGCGTTGCATCGTCTTCGGAATAGCTATCACTCTCGTATCGCCCTGGAACGCTCTTCTTCTTACTAGCAAATGGGTTTAGAGGGTTAAGCATATGTCTTACTCTTGACGTGACAGCCCCTCTGTGATCATATTCTGGGCGTGTGGACTCCTTGGAAACATGGCGCATAAAGGCAGGTCTTGGTCGGCCATTACGGTACAACGGGTCTTCAAAGTATTTGTATGCGCCCGTCTTCTCATCCGCAGAAGAGCCCTCACCCTCGGTTGAGGTGCGCAGTCTCGGCTCGTCTGGTACACTATCTCCCCTCGACTCGGCGTCGGCCTCCCTCTTAAGCCGGTCCGCAACATTTTCATACCACTCTTCCATGGCCTCATCAGGTTTTGATGGGAAGCATTGCTTGGGCAGAACTTTGGGGAAGATGTTGCCGGTTTCTGGATCGTGAATATCGTCTAGCTCGACAGCCCTCTGTAAGAATGGCACATGTTCTTCTGGGCCCAACAATATCTGTATTGTCTGCCATGTCACAAATCCTTGCTTCTTCAGGGCGGGAATGCTAGGAGTTGAATACCCGTCGTCGCCTGGTCCCGGCTGTAAACTGTGGAATGCACCCAGTGAGCGATATATAAATGCAACCGACGATGGCGCCGTCTCGGTGAATAAGACGTCGTAGTCACCGCCGACACTACGGTACCAAGCTGCAATCTGTGACGGCGTGAGGTCCGGCGAGTCGCTTGGCTCAAACTTCCTGCTCTATGTGTCGGTACGCATCAGCTGTCACGGCTCCAGCAGCACATGATTCCAATTACTGCTTTGAACTCACAATAACCTCTGCTATGCCCCTCAACAGGCGATCCAATTTCGGGGTTCCGGTTTTGTCCTCTTGCAAGAGATAGCCCCAGTATTGGCAGGCTTCCCGTTCTGTCGCGTCTGCATGTGCTTTCATTGCGGCGCGCTCCTCTCGCTGTTCCTGTGACTCTCTGGATTCGGCGGCCATTTCTGGGGTCGGCGGAGATGGTGGCTATCAATGGTTCCAGGCATAGGTTTAATCTCAGCTGATTGCGCGGAGCTGACGCTCGTGTATGTGCGGCGAACCCCGCGGTAGTGCAACGCGGAGTGCAGGCGTGCGCAACGCGACAGCGCCAGGAAGCCGCTGCTGTTTATACCAAGACGCCTTCGCCGCTATCAGCAGGCATCACCGTTATGCGACAGCCAGATGACTGGCCCGCTGCGCCTCTGCACTGCGCAGGACCCGGTAGCAAGGTGGGGGGGTGTTGCGAGCGGCATGGCATGCATGCATGGCTGGTGATGTCAGTTGCTCACCATGGTAGGGCCGCCGGGGTGAGCGAGCGGGAGGCGTGAGCCGTGAGGCAGCAATCAGGCACCGCTGTCTTGGAAAAACTACTCTTGGGCGCCAGAGCCTTCCAGCTAGAAAATCAAATAATCCCGCTTTCAATTTTCTGCCCTCTCCTACAAGCGAGACATCAGCCGCACCCGGGACGACGTTGAGGACAATTATGTATTTGTATTCGCCACTATGCATTTTATCTATCATGATCCGTGAACCATGCCTGGGTCAGGCCGTAATATATGCCTCCCGCCTTCGTTCCAGTCTGCTATGCTCAGGAACGTAGAAATGCAATGTTATCCCTCGTAATCCCATCGCTAGAAGACCTGTCTTCAAAAACTCATGTGAAACTGTCAAGAAAACCCCCACCACTCTCCTTTAGTGCTCAAGCAGCCTGAGCGAACCTTGCACCACGACGTTCTCGAGGATGGAACCCGGGGGAATGTCGATCGTGGAGCCTTCGGTCGCAACGATGATGACAGTACCCTTTAGGGTGACGCCACGACCGAGGTTGACCGGACCAGTAATGGTAAGATGGTCGAGCTCAACAATCTTGGGGATGGAGGGAATGCGGGCCTGGAAGCTCGAAACCTTCTTGAAGTCGCTGCCGAGCTTGATCAACGGCGCAGGGCCGAATCGGTTAGGGTCGATCACCAGCTGGCCGTGCTGCAGAGTGTAGAGATCAGACTTGACGAGCATGAGATCGGAGCAAGTCTTGACTGGCAAGAATCGCCGCCTGGGAACGTTGACACCGTGTGCGTTCTTGAAGTGCTTGATGGCAGCACCAACAGCTGTCTCGAGCTGGAGGACCGAGATGTCCGCCTCACCCTTCTTGTCAGCAGGGATGGACTTGCCGTTGGGAATGATCTCCATGGCAAGCTCATTAGCCTCGACAACACGCTTGATGGCTGCCAGGTTCATCCAGATGTTGTTGGTGTTGAAGTACTTGAACTTCTTAATTGACTTGAACTCGTTGACGTGCTCCTTGGGTACCTGAGCGATTTCGAGCAGACGGACCGAGCCCTCGTAATCGATGATGGTACCACCCTTAACGTCGGCCTTGGTCTTGTCCGTCAACTCCATGATGTACTCAGCCTTGGAGTCGACCATGTGCTGGAGGATGCGGAGATCGACGACAGCACCCAAGTTGTCAGCGTTGGAGAGGAAGATGTACTCAATGCCACGGTCCATGAGCTTGTCAATCATGCCGGTGTTGTACAGAGACTCGAAAACGTCACCGTGACCAGGGGGGTACCAGTTGGCAATGTCTGACTTGTTCTCCTTGGGTGCGGGCAGGAGCGAGTCCTTGAGGATACGGGGGTACCTCGACTGGTTGAAGGTGAGGATGTCGATGTTGTGGCCCTCGTACTTCTTGATGATGCTCGCAGTGTCGGTGTCGGTGTTGAACGAGTTCATAAGAACGAACGGTACATTGACATCATATGTGCGGTTCAGGTACTCAATCTGTCGTACTGACAGGTCCAAGAAGGACATACCATCACGGACCTCGATGACCGACTTTGGGCCAACGCAACCCATGGAGGTACCGAGACCACCATTGAGCTTGACAACTGCCAGCTTGTTCAGGTATTCAACACCCTCGGAGTTGGCCAAGTCATCGTAGTTGACCACCTGCTCAGCCTTGGGGGGAGCAATGCGATTCCAGTCAATGGCAGTGCCCTTAGCCTTGTCGTTGAGGTATCGGCGGAAGAGGGCGAAGAAGTTGTCCATTTCCGTCTCGAAGTACTGCATATACGTCAACATAACGCTCGTATTGCGTAGTGCCCCTCTTCAAGCTCCACTACCAAACATTCTGACATGTCGCTGATGCGGGTTATTAACCCCAAGCGAATGTAGTAGGATGTTTCAAGTAGTCCGCGGGGCATTGAAGAGGGACACGCTTGTCATTTTGACTGACCTTCTTCTCGGCGGGGTCGGTGACGGTGTCGGCGAGCTTGTTCAGAGCATTGCGCATTTGCGAAGCAGCGACGTTGGTTGATGTATTCTCGAAAGCCTGGAGAGAATCCATGGTTAGCAGATTGATAGTAGAAATGTGTGTATGCGAGAGGATTTGGAGTTTAAAGGCATTGTTGTTGCAATAAGACCACCCCAGAGCAGCGTGGCATAAGTGAAAGCGAAGGTGAATACAAGGTCAATGCTCTCAGAAGGACCGTGAATATTGATTTCCTGATATTGCCTGGTTCCATCGAGAAGGGCCGTGTGAATGCCATGCTTGGGCGGTGTGTTGTGCACAACAGCGAAGACACGTCTTCGTGAAGGTACCCACAGTGCCCCAACCTGGTGCTCATCAAAAGCGGTGAGAGTAATGGAACTGCAGCAATTGCATTGCCTGGTAGAATCCAAAAGGCAGTGCCATCAAGCCTTCTGTAGGCTGGAGAGGGGTATGAACAGAGAGGAAACGTACGTACCACATGGGACTGCGACTTGCCATGGTGACGCTGAGATGAGAAGCCACCTTCGCCGCCACCCTCGGCAGCGGAGGGCTTCAAGTGGGAGGGAATCGCGCGAGATGCCATTGTGTGATTGTGAAGAGAATCCAGGGGGGAGAAGTGGTGTCGAGAGCAAACAAGTGTTGGGGAGCTGGTCTCCTTATAGGCAATGGCTTGCGCTTGGCGTTCAACGTGGGGCAAATCGAGAACGAGCCTTGACCTGTAAACAACGAGCCTGGGGTTTTTGATGGGAATAGTAAAGAGACGGTGTGCATCTGGTTTTTCTATACGTGCATGCTATTGCCGCTCAGCGACCAGACAGGCAGTCTCGAGCGCAACATCTCTGCATGGCAACAGCGACACCGCCAATAGTCCTTGTCCACATGGTGAAAGCCTCCAATACTCGGGCGATATCGTAACCACCTGGCTTGGTCTATACGGTAGGCCGACTCAAAGCCACAGCTCCATGATTTTTGCTTTATCTGAGCTGTCGCTGTCCATGTCCAAAGCTGTCGTGCTATACCGACCTCGGTGTCCTTGCCCCGAAGTCTTTCCGCTCCACTTGGTCGGCCTTTGACTGAGAGCTCCCCACTGTCCCACACCCGCGCGACTCAACCGCGACTGTCGAATGAGCGTCGCAGCTACCTATCTGCTCGACCTCACGATGCACAATTGTTGAATAACTTCCTGGGAGCTATGGCGATAAATTGCAAAGCCCCTCATCTGGCCACACCACTAGCAAGGGTATGCAGTAACCCTGACGTTACGCCACCGCTTTTCCGATTTCTTTCCCAACAGACGCGCAACATCAGGGCCGAGTCTGCACTGCGCTGGCCGTGGCAAAAGCCAATACAACCTTGAGGCAAATTTACAGAGAGACTGGCCATTGGGTCTAGTTGATTCAATGTACTGACTGCCATGTTGTGTTGCAAGATTGTGGCTGCATTGGTGGTGCAGGTACACGTCTAGGTACACAATTCCGCACTCAGCTATCGCTTGGACCACGTGGGGGATCTACTCAGCAGCTGTCCACGGGTATTGTACAACGATGCCCATGTCAAATGTGCTGCTCAACAACAAAAGATACATAAATGGCACCGTTCAAGACATATCACCAGCCCTTCATTCTCGTCACCTGTATGTTTCGCGATACGGAATTACCAAGAGGGAAAGAAGCTCTGAACGAGCTTAATCGACTTGGCATTATTCTGACCACGAGCTCAAATCCCTCCAGTGTAAGACAGGGAAGACAGGCAGGGAACAAGCTATGGCTGTGGAGCCCGTATCGGTACCGGGTGCGCTAGCGGACCTTGATCTTAGGGCCGCAAGTCAGGAACAGACGTCTCTAGCTTTTTGTGTGCTATGGCTTGGTCTGAAGACACCATAGTAATCTCACTACGACCGTATTGGCCGCGTTATCTCGACCGCTGGTGCATCTGCGAACGGCACAGCGTGGGGCTTGCCAATCCTAAGCCTAATCCAAGCATCCTGATCCACCTCTTGAGTGAAGAATTTCTGCCTCAGCTCTCCAACGAGCCACGCTAGAAGACTCTCGATAGTCTGGAACGAGGACGCAGAAATAAGCTATCTTGGGTTAGTCAACGCCTCCATGGTGTAGGTCGTATTTTTACCTCAAACAAGAGACTTTCCAGTTGCGGGTAGTCGTCCACGCGAGAGTCGTGTACGTTGTCTACCCAGATATCGACGTTTACTGGTTGCTTTTGTAGTCGCTCATTTGAATTGACACCGATGAGGCACGGAATGCGGACATTTTGCAGGTATAAGACATTTGAGTGGGCTCCAGACTTTTCTACACTCGAAGTCCGATGTCCAGCTCGTTCACCCAGCATGCTCCCTTTCGGATAGCTTACGTCCGTTTCGAGAGCGTATATGTCTGTGGAGCTTGCAACTCGGCGTACGCTGTCAGAAATGGCCACAGAGAGTGCAGAGGTAGACATCCAGGGCAGAGCATCGTCCTTGAAGCGTGCCTGGATCGCTTTGCTGAGTGTACCATAATGAACCGTACTATCATCGACGGAGTCGGTGGAGGAGGCCGAGGTGAACTGTTTGCCTAGCGTCAAGGTCACACTGATGTTCGCTCGCTGTTTCTTCTCACGTCCCCAGACATCCTTTCCTGCGGGCACGACCACCTCGAGGTTCTGGACCATGATCTTATCGAAATGGCCACTTTGAGCTACTTCAGCATCCCACTGAACCTGACGCACGACTGAACCCATCTTCTTGGCCTAGTAGTTCTGGAGTGGAGAAAAGTTCAGATAGATTTGAAGCAAGATTTGACCTTTGTTATTGTTAGTTGTGACTAACAAACTGGCCATGCCAGCATATCGCTTGGTTTGCTGCCTTATCGGCGGTGCACCTAACGTCGGCCCATGGAAATAGAGATGGCGGGGCACAGACAGACAACAAAAGGCTGAACAGGCATCAATTGCCCAAAACATGAGCGGTAAACGTCATTTGTTTGCCTTGACCTTTTGATTGTGAAACGAGGCCATGTAAACTGATATGATGAGATGCGATAGACAGACGTAAGTTGCAGAAAAGGGCTCAGAAAAGGCTTGGTACTCACCAAACTGGAAGAAGTCGCGTAGGGCTCACTGGTGGGGTAAGAGGTACGACCTGGAGGCTCTAGATGCACGGACGTCTTTCCTGCCAGAGCTCCGCAATCGAACATTCTAGCTACACGTGAAACTATAATTCGATCCTGGGCCCTCTGACACTGCAACAAGAAGTTTTGCAGTTTCGAATAAACTACACCAAACTCTCACATTGCAATCATGGCCGACGCACTAAAAGCAGAGGGCAACAAGCTCTTCGCCGAGAAGAAATTCGCCGAGTCTATGTAAGCTCCCCGCAACCACAGCCTCGCCGACGCTGTACTAACAAAACACAGCGAGAAGTTCTCACAAGCCATAGAGCTCGACCCCTCAAATCACGTTCTCTATTCGAACCGATCAGGTGCATATGCTTCTCTAAAAGATTGGCAAAAGGCCCTTGAGGATGCAAACAAAGTTACCGAGATCAAGCCAGACTGGGCCAAAGGTTGGGGTCGCAAGGGAACGGCGCTGCACGGCGAGGGTGATCTGGGTACGTTGGACGTACATGTGCTTTTTGCAAATACTAACAGCTAGCAGTGGGAGCATCAGATGCCTTCGATCAGGCACTCAAACTAGACCCAAACAATGCCCAAGCGAAATCAGGCCTCGAAGCCGTCAAGCGCGCGATTGAGGCCGAAGCCAACGATGATGGAGCGGGCCTTGGTGGCATGTTCAGCGATCCAAACATGATCCAAAAGCTTGCCGCCAACCCCAAGACAGCTGCTCTGCTCGGCGATGCAGAGTTCATGGCTAAGCTACAGCAACTGCAGAAGAACCCGAACGCGGCCGGTCAATTCATGCAGGACCCGCGTTTCCTCCAAGTCATGAGCGTGCTACTGGGCATTGACATGTCATTCGGTCAAGGACCAGGCGCTGGCGGTGCAGGTGCTGCAGGCTCAAAGGAAGCCGAGGAGGACGTCGAGATGCCCGATGCGAGACCAGCACCAGAGCAACCCAAGAAGGCACCTGAGCCGGAGCCAGAGCCAGAGCCAGAGCAGGTTGAAGAGACTGAGGAGGAAAAGGCCGCGAAACAGGCAAAGGCCGAGGCTGATGAGTTGAAGAAGAAGGGCACTGAGTTCTACAAAAAGCGACAATTCGACGAGGCTATTGAGCACTACACCAAGGCTTGGGAGACACACAAGGACATCGCATACAAGACCAACCTTGGAGCGGCCAAGTTTGAGAAGGGTGACTATGAAGGCTGCATCCAGGCTTGCAATGAGGCTGTTGAGTACGGTCGCGAGATTCTTGCAGACTTCAAGATCATCGCAAAGTAAGTGTTTGAACGAATATATGGATTGTCGGTTACTAACATGTCCTAGGGCGTTCGCACGTATCGGTACCGCATACGAGAAGATGGGCGACCTCGAAAACGCGATTAAGTACTACCAAAAGGCGCAAACTGAACACCGCACACCCGAAGTCCTTGCAAAGCTCCGCGCTGCCGAAAAAGCCAAGATCCAGAAAGACAGGGAAGCCTACATCAACCCTGAAGAAGCGGAGAAGGCACGAGAACTAGGCAACGCAAAGTTCAAGGAATCCGACTGGCCTGCTGCCGTCGAAGCCTACTCCGAGATGATCAAACGCGCACCAGACGACCCAAGAGGCTACTCCAACCGCGCAGCCTGCTTCATCAAACTCCTCGAGTTCCCCTCCGCCGTTCAAGACTGCGACGAAGCCATCAAGCGCGACCCCAGCTTCATCCGCGCCTACCTCCGAAAAGCCCAGGCCTACTTCACCATGCGCGAGTACAACAAGTGCATCAACGTATGCTCCGAAGCCATGGAACACGATAAAGACGGCAAGAATGCAAGGGAAATTCAGCAACAAGAGGCAAAGGCTCTGCAGGCACAGTACTCGGCTCGTGAGGGTGAGTCTGAGCAGGAGACTATGGAACGCATCCAGCGTGACCCTGAGGTAAGTCCAACTGGAGAAAACTCTCTCGTGTAGTGAATAGTTTACTGACGTTTTGCTTGTAGATCGTCGGCATCCTCCAAGACCCCGTCATGCAGGCTATCCTGCAACAAGCCAAGGACGATCCTGCTGCCCTGCAGGAGCACCTCAAGAACCCGAGCATTCGTTCCAAGATTCAGAAGTTGGTGCATGCGGGTGTTATCCGCATGGGCCGGTAGAAGAATCGCCGTTTCCTAGCATGTTTAAAAAGACTATATGAGGTATGATGACGAAACCTTTACCTTTATTGTTCTCTTTCTGTAGGAAGGTAGCAAATGAGAGGAGGCTTTTGTATGTTTATATAGGTGTTTTTTTCTTCTTCACTCTACTGGGCTTGGTTAGCAAGGATTTCTTTTCAACACGATGCATAGCGGGTAGTGGTAATGAATTATGTATGAATTCTCTCTCTCTCCTTTCTTTCTATTTCTTTTCTGTCAATGCTGTGATGTGTGATATATGCGTGCATGTAGGCTTCATGATATTTAGTCCTGCCTTTCCAACCGCTGCATAAAGCAGGTTTGTGAAATGCGAAAAGAACAAAACTAACACCTCCCATACCGTCCTTGCAATCGGTTGCAAAAAAATAATATTCTCTCCCCTCCCCTTCCCACCCCCAGCCTATTTCTTGCCTACACCCCACTAATAAAATCCAACAACCGCATCAACGCCCCATTCTCCACCCTGCACCCCTCGCCCTCCCTCTGCGCGCGCCTCAACCCCTGCGCCAACCACAAACGAATGATATCCGGGTCCAAGTTGCGGAAGTTTTGCTGGCTAATCATGACGTAGGCTTGTGCGCAGAGGGTGGTTGATTCCGTGGGGGAAGGCGGTGGGCGGGTTTTGCAGGTTGTGCATTCGGGGTCTGGTGGGGAGAGGGAGAGGGGAGTTGGGTCTGGGTCGGTGCAGCAGGGAGGTGGGCCTGTGGATGGGGTGGGGATAGGGGAGAGGCTGGGTGAGAGGGATAGGGAAAGGGAGTTGGGGAGGTAGAATGGGGTGGGGGAGGTGAGGTAGGGGATGTCGTAGGATGGGATTGTTGATGAGGAAGAGTGTGGTGGTTGTGTTTGTGTTTGTGTTTGTGTTTGTGTGTCTGACAGCGACGGCGATGATAGAGGCAGTGATAATGGTAGTGCAGATACAACGTCGATATCCAAACTCATGTGACCACCGTCAACTCCACCATCTTCAACATTCACATACGACCGCTCCACCACACCCTCATCAACAACAACTTGCTGTTGCTGCTTAACGCACAAGCTATGCTGCTCTTTCAAACTCGCAATTTCAGCGCGTGCCTCGGCGAGCAAAGCTTCGGTTTCTGCGAGCTTTTGCTCTAGCGAGGCGACGTGGTCGCGCTGTCGGGCCCGGTGTCGCCGCTGGTTCTCGCGCACCCGGTTTAGAGTGTGCTCTGCGGAGACGCGGGTGCGTCCGCCTCTGGGTGCTGGGGAAATGGATGAAGTAGATGCTGAGGAGGTTGATGATCCTGGGGAGGAGATGCTTGGCTGTGGTGAGGGCATAGCTGGCGTTTTGCTCTATTAACGTTGCTATGGGATCGAGATGGCGCTTATGGGAGAAGAAGGCTCGTGTGTTCTTGGTATGTTGTGTATGTAAAAGTTCATCCAAGGAATGAGTAGAGAGGGATTTCTACTACAGGAGCTAGGACGTTTGTCGCTGGCTCGGTGGCCAGACTGAGGCAGAGGGTGTAAGAGCTTGGCGATGACATATCGAGAGGGGAGCGACGCGATTGGTGGGTTGGCGTCCGGTGAAACAGGAGCGAAAAGCAAAGTTTGCCAGTGCCTACTGGATCTCCGACTTTTCGAGGTGTGGATCGTGGATACGTGGAAAGATGTGGGGATTTTTGTGGATGAGTTTGAAGGCTGAATGTTCTGGAATTTTGAGTTCGTTGTTTGAGGCGTTGGGTTGGTGTGTTACAACGGCCAACGTTTAACGTTAGCTGATTGTATCCCTGTGGATGCATTTGCGACTGCTTCGAGACGTCATGCGGGCTTTGCCAAGACTACTTGATGTTCAGTCCTATACACGTGTGAAAGCAACTCTTGCCGAGTGCACTAATCGTTGTTGGCATGCTGGGACTCCCAGCTTCCGAGGTGTTCGCGCGGCACCTTGAGCCGCAAGTGGGGCGCTGAACCGCGTGCCCGCCATGACGGAGGGGAAGCTCCATAACAATCGTCATAACGTCAAGGTACAGTTAAAACAACCCCGCGACACCTCTGATTTCCCCTCAATCCCCAGATTCTCTACCGTCCTTAGACACCAAAATGTCTTCCCAGCCAGTTACGGAGCCGCTACAAACGTACGAGATATCAGACTTTAAATTCCACAATGGCACTACGCTGCCCAAGCTGAAGCTGGCGTACAAGATACTCAATCCGCACAATTCCAAAATTGCAGTGGTGCACACCTGCTTCAAGGGACGCATCGATTCCACACTGACACATGCGGATGGGGCACTCAAGAACCACAAAATCATCCTCATTGCACTCCTTGGCAATGGCGAATCGTCCAGTCCTTCAAATACTCCCAACTTTCCCTCTCAGCTCGAATATATGGACTGCATCAGCGCCCAATACACTCTTTTGACCAAAGAGCTAGGCATCAGGGAAGTAGACGTGATGTTGGGGTTCTCCATGGGCGGCCAAATCACGTACCACTGGGTAACATCCTACCCAGACTTTGTCAAGCATGCCGTCGTTGTGTGCTCCTCGGCCAAGACGAGCAGACACAACTACCAGTTTCTCGAGGGTCCCAAGGCAGCGTTGGAGAGCGCGGTCAGCCCTGAGCGAGGCATCCGGGCGTTCGGCAAGGCGTATTCAGCGTGGCTGACAAGTGCGGAGTGGTTTGATGAGGAACGCTACAAGGAAATGGGATTCCAAACCCTTCGCGACTGGGACGACGTTAGCACTATCCAGGGATACGAGGGATGGACTGGAGACGACCTGCTCGTCATGTTGGGCATGTGGCAGCGAGGAGATGTTAGCCGGTGCACAGAAGCAAAGACGGAGGAAGAGGCGCTCAAGAGTATCACGGCAAAAGTGTTGCTAATGCCTTGTGAGACGGACCAGTACTTTAGGCCGTATGTTAGTGAAAGGGAGATTACGAAGCTGGCGAATGGGTCGCTGGAGATTATCCCGAGCATTTGGGGACATATCGCTGGTGGTGGGGCGAACCCGAAAGATGTTGAGTGGATGGACCATAAAATCAAGTTGTTCCTGCGAGGGCTAGCGTAGGAGCGGATGGAAAGAGACGTTTTTATTGAATTACCGTCTGTACGAGATGGTCTTTGCATACGTTGACGTGGTGAGTCACTGTTGCGCCGGAAACGACAACAGAGTTTGGGCGAAGCTTACCAGATCGCCTGAATGCTACCGGTTCTCACCAGATGTCATGTTTGTGCACTCCCTGTGTCGCTGCTGACTGTTGCACGGCCAACCACAAAGTCTCTGTGGATGGTGACGGGCTCATGTTTAGCGGTACCAACTCTCACTGCATGTCGGTAAAAAGCATAGGTCCAATGGGTGCCGTCACAGCCACTAGCGCCGGCTGATGTAAGCGTATTTTCTTCACTTCGGACCGCAAGAACGAGAGACATCCCCTGAAGCGTTCACACCGTATTGGAAAGGATTGCGGCTACTTTTGATGTGCGCAAATCAGGCCATCGAAGTTCGGCAGCGTCGACGGTCCCGACAGCCGAATATAATTAGATGGAAGCTTGGCAGAGGCCGCAGGGATCTTCATCCCTGCGTGCGCGTTATCATCTCGACGCTTTGGAGCGGGCGCTGTCTTGTTTCAGGCATAGTGCACCCTGTGGTCTTCCGTTCTGGGAGACGTCTGATGGATGTGACAGGTACCGAGTGTGATTTGCTCGCGTGACGAACGTCTTGTTGTCATTTCCATCTATTAGCGGTTGGATAGCCAACGGACTTTTGCGGCCTCTGTGGCATATTGTTGGTACGTAGCGAAAAGGAATGAAACACATGCCACGCAACGTCACGACGATCTTGATGGCGCTGGGGCCATGATCTACAGAGACCAGTGGAGTTGGGCACGCACAGCAGTACCGGACAGTACGGAAGTGGAGGATGTAGGTGTGCATACCATGGGTACTGGAGTATTGAAGCCAAGGGGCGTGTTGGGGGTGAAGTGAAATTGCACATGAGAAATTGGTGCTACGCCGTAATCAGACTGCTACATGGACCCGCGATGCTGCAGTCTCCCATTGAATGCAGAAGCGAATACTTACTCGACGCACAGACGATCTGGTGCTGAATGTGGGGTGTGTCGACGTTGGCGGCTCCGAACACGAGAGGTCTCTTGCACCGGCGCGGAGCCAGAGGCCACGTTGTGGGCGCGCCAGCTTTCGATGCAATTTCTCGGTACGGCTTTACTGTGCTGAGGGCCGGTGGTCGCGTAAACGCGATACTTTGACCACGCATGGAGCAGTGTGAGTTTGGGATACCGCGGCGGGCTTGCAACGATAAGCGGAAGGCGCGCAATTAGCGTCGACCCTGGCAATTTAGCAGATTAGCAGATAGCTACTCCGCAAACACGGCGGCGGCGGTTCCAACGACATTAGCTCGTTGGTCCCTGGCGGCCCGTCGACTTGACAAGGCCGCTCATTCTCCCATTGACACTTGAGAAGTCCCCGTTACTGTACACGGTACATGCAAGGGCGCTGGCATTGCAACCTCAGCATCAGCCAGTTTCAGGTGCGAGGTCCCGGTTAGAGACGTCGCATCCCCTCGGAACACGCCGTCTACGCCCAACAAGTGCCTGTCAAACATCTCTCTCCAGTTGCCTCAAGGCTTCACGTCCTGCCTTGACACGCCCAGGCAAGCCGCCCGCCACCTTTGTACCCCCGACGCAGGAACGCCTCCGCACGCCTCACGACACAAACCCCGCAACCTTCACCATCACCATCAACATCAACATTCGCGTCGACGACAACACCACCACCACCACCACCTCTATAGTCGCCACGCCCAAATCTCCCGTCTGCGGGCAGCACCATGGTCGACGCACAGGACGCCGGGAGTAAACTCTTCTCCAAGAGTCGCTGGAAGACCAAGATCTTTGAGAAGACGGCCGAAATCGCTGCTGCAAACCAGGCCAAGACCGCCAGGACCCCCGATGACGACCTCGACGCCTTCCTCAAGCCCTCGACCGATAGGGTCGCCCAGCAGCAAAAGGAGGCCGCCGCTGCTGCTTTGTTTAGTCGGCCCCGCATAGACGTCGCGAGTGCTCAGCGATGGCCGAGCGCACAGGTCATTCTCGCCAATGCCGCTGCGAAGAGCCCAGGCCCGGGTGGTTTGAAGACGGGCACGCGCAAGAAGGGCCTCACTGTGGGTTTCGTGCGCAGTGTGCCTGAAGTCATAGGTCATGGCGGCGACGAATGCGAAGACCCCACCATCGAGGTGTCCCAGAACAAGAAGGCGGCCACCGCGTCGCAAGTGGAGAAGCCGCCGGTACTGGTACCGCAAGACGACGCTAATGTAACCGCCCGCAGCAACGGCATAGGCAGGACCGCTTCACAAACAGAATACCGCACCCAACTCACGAGAACACATACGAACCCCGGCGAGCTCTCTCCGCCCCTCGGACAGAAGATGCAGATTGGCCAGATCAACTCGACTGCCCAGCTCCCTCCCACGCCACCACGATACATGGGTTCTATGGGCCTCGGAGAGCGACCGAAACCCCTCTCAAGAGCGCCAACCGGCTTCGACAGCATCATGGAGGCAGTGGGAAATGCTCCAGGAAGACGACAGAGCGAAGACTCTGTTTATTCGCAAGATTCGGACAACTTGTCGCCCACCATATCGAGGAACGTGTCAGTACGGGAGCCCACAATACAGGAGGAAGATGTTATCCAGCCAAAGATGCTCAAGCGCACTCAGACTGGCTTCAGCACGCTAGGCGATGATGACGCTCATGAGCCTGTACACCCGATACCTTCTGTTCCACACCTGCCAGAACAGAGGCTGGCCGAGCAGGAAGAGGACGGCCCTAATTCATTTGCGGCGCGAGTCAAGCAAAGAATGCGATCGGAAGAGGGCAGAACGCTACACGAAGCAGCCCAACGAGCAGCAGAGACTGAACGGCGAGACTCCGAATCGAGCTCACAACTGTCCATGGCTGGGACCCCACCTTCGTCCTACCGCACGCCAGCGACCGCAAGAACGCCCCATGAGAGCTCGCAAGTGGAATCCAGAGGATCCCCACGTCCGATGGACCCCGAAGACCCCCACAGATCAAGAGCAACCCAAGGAAGAAGGCCCATGGGCCATGCCATCCAAACTGACATGGAGCCGCGCTCGCCGTCAGTAGCGTCATCGCAGTACGCTCCTTTTTCCCCACTGTCACAAACACGCACATCACCCCCAGTACGATCAGAGCCCTTCTCTGCAGGACTTCAGCAAATGACCTCTCCTTCAAAGGAGCCTTCATTCCAACCAGTGGATATTGGCTCCAATCCGCCTACACCACCTCAGATTGCACAGCAAGAATTATTTTTTGAAGCCGCACAACCTCCGCCATCTTTCTCGACCCCGCAAATACGCGCAATCTCAGGACCGTCGGGGAGTGAATTGCCGTCGCGGAATGCCTCTGGGGCTAGCATGAAACCTGCAACGTCCCTTGCTCGTTCCGATACGAAAACGCTCAACGAAGTAGCCTATCAGGATTTTGCTGAACGTGTTACACACATGCGTGGCATCTTCCAACTAACCGCCCAGCTTGGAGGAAACATCCACAGCCACTCGCCCATGCAATGGCTTCGGGTCGCTACTTGGTGGTTTCTGAAGGGTCGCACCGGGATGGAGAACATGATCAGGAGTCAACCCAGGAATGGCGAACCACCACAGGAACGATTGGCCCAACCCCATGTCGACTTGGCAAAGGTGTGGTGGATTATTACGGAAGTCTTGCCCAATCACCCAGGGTTGCAAAGTTACGGTGACGCGTCACCTAATGCACAGGTCGACCTTGCACGGCAAGCTGGAGATGCCGCTAGTGCTGAAGCCTACGACATTCAAAATGCTCTAAGTCATTACATGAAACTACTTGTGGGGTCGATGAAGAAGCACCAAAGTATGCCTCCGACACAGGCATTGATTCAAGGACAAGACCAGTCGATATGGGAGGAATACCCAACGTTCCCTGGCGATGCCACTAGTGTTCTCGGACAGCCCTCTCAGGGTGGCCCACAGTTCAGTCTTTCGCAATGCATACCCCTCGCCGACACGAAGAACGATTTCTGTTACTTTAGAATGTTTGTCAAAGCATCGCTATCGACTGACGACCCCAGCACAGATCGCGTTCCTATGAATGCAGTAATGTCTGTATTGCGGTCCAAGAACGAATATCAAGTCAAACTCTCTATCTGCAGTCAAAACAGCCTGATCAATGTCCAGGTTGGCTCAGGTTCGGCCATAGGCTGGAAAGACGTCAACTGGAAACAGCAGTCACAACAAATCACGGTGCAGCTACGACATGGTTTCCTTCTTACCCTTGCCCTCCACGAAGTTGATTTCCGTAGTCTCTGGTCCATTATCAACCACACCAACCGTGTCGAGTCGGATATCAGAGAAAGAAAAGATGAGCGCTTTGCGTCAAAGATATACCTTCGAGAGGCCAGTTATAGGGATCCGGCAAGCCCTGGCGCTTTTGCACCTGATCGCGTCAAGGATTGCAAGCTTTTGGTGTTCCAAAAGATAGAACGCAGCAGTGAAGGCACAGGCAAGCGGAAACTTCATCGAGGCTACCGGATGGTCCTTGTTACACCGCAGCATGTCAAGCAAGTCAGCGTCATTAACCATGAATTCGGAACGAAGAACGAGCCGATGAACTTTGAATATGTCACCGAGCCCGACCAAGCCCCAGCGCTGAGGCTACGTTTCCGCGAAGAAGGTCCTGACAAGAAGTTGAGAGTGTGTACAGCACATTTGGTTTTCCATGATAGCAGAGAGCGCAACGACATCTTCGGTACCTTTACTTCGATGAATGTAGCTGAGGGTGAAACAACGTTTGCGCAAGTGTCACTCAAGGCCTATCACATTGAAAGTGCCGATCAAGCAGAGGGCTTCAGTCAACAAGGCAGTCGCGTGCTTGAAAGGTTGCAGTGGGTGGAAGCCAAGGTTGTGAACCAAGATCCTGAGGCTGCGGGACTGGAATCCGCACCTACTGTTATGAGCGAGAGCTTGCGAATTATGTGTAGACATACTGCTGGCATCGTTTGTGACCGCATGAATTTGGGTAAGTTACGTCGATACATAAGACAGAGTGAGGAGATTAACAAGTACCAGGTCCTGGTGAACTTTTGGTTCGTCTTCCTGTCGACGGCTCGCCTGAGCTTACGCTCCTTCGTGAAGCCCAGCAGGATTTATCGGTCGCGGTTGATGCCAGCCGTACGGAACCCAACGTGCCGGATGCGCTTGCAGAGCTCCTCAAAACTCTCACAAGCGCGACTACAATACGTCGGTTAACGTTCAACTCATACCAAGATTTGCATACTTTCCAGCTTGCTGTCACCGGTTTCAATGTCAAGTTCGATGGGTATGTCACTCTCCACCATTTACACTCCGATTTATCACTAACACCCACAAGTCTCGCATGCACATTTTCAATCTCGCGCCGACGAATGGTAGTTCCCATCTACAAGCAATGGACAGCGAACCGACTGCGCCTCCAAATCGTTGAACAAGACAACATTGTCCAACTCCTTGCCTTCTTCGAAGACTTTTCCCACGCCGACGCCATGAACTTCCAACTCCGTACCATGGACACGTTTGAAAAGACGGACAAGGGCGGCAAGTTCGGCCTCAAGCTCGTCGATGCCAAGTTTGCGCTTCCCGTAGATGAACGTCGTGGCGAAGGAAAGATTCAGAAAGCTGAGGGCAGACTGACGGGTTGGTCGGGGACGAAGCGTCGATTTGTTTGTTTGGATGAGATTGAGTATCCCGGTGAACATGATGATATTCTTATCATGTTTGACTCTGCTGAGAGTGAGTTCTTCTTTCATTTTCTATTCTTCCAATCGTTTCTATGTAGCATACTGACGATTCGTCACAGCACGCGACCGCTTCGCTGAAGCACTACCCGCCGCAACCATGGAGCGCAAATTCACCGTTCGACGCAAGATCTAAGCCGTGTTCATCTGCTGGGATGACACCATACTCGTTTTCTTTCTCTTTGCATAGCCTCTTGCATACTCTTGTTGTTTTCTCGCCCTTTCTACATAATACTGTAGCCTGGATACCGCTACTTTTTCCATACATGACCACCATTCTACCATTACTCACCGCCGATACCTCTTTTCCTTTGTTCATCCATTCGTCCATCTATCTACAAGCGGCATGGTACGCCTCTTCTCCTTTTGAATCACACATCTCCGCTGGACTCACTACACAAGTCGGACTGGAATTTCAAACATGGGCACTGGCACAGGCACATGTCTTCTCTCTGTCTCTTTCTGTTTACTCGGCGCAAACGGAGGGGCATATTGCATTTTGTTTTCCAGCTTTTGAGCTTCTAGCTTTCTGTTTAGCTTTTTTTCCTGCGGGGAGGGCAGGCAGCACAAACATATGATATCACCACCACCAGTTGTAAAGATGGTTGTTTACTTGTTGTACTTTTGTATCCACGTGTTTTTCTGTTTTTCTGGGAAACATCATCATCGGATTTCCGGGTTTGTATGTTGTGAAAGCCTAGCTGAAGACTAGATTGCTGTTGGGTATGTTGCTGCGCATAGGCTGGACAGGATAGGGTAAGGTAGGGACAAGGGTATTTGGATGGAAGGCGTGAACCGGTTTGGCTATTTAATGGGGATAATTCTGGTAGTTTGGCTGCCGTACGCAGGCCACCCCTAACATGCGTGTAGGGTGGGAAGTGAGTCAGATTTGGAAAATACACGATCTTCTCCTCCCTCCTCCTACCCAACCTCAATCTCAATCCTCCATCACGATCCCCTCCCCTTACCCCCCCAAAGCCCAACCAACCCCTCCAAACTCTCCCCCAACACCGGATCTTTCCCAGGCACAGGCACATTCCAAACCACCTCCTCCCGTCCCTTATGTTCGCCCCCAACCTTGAAATCCCACACATTCCCCTCCGGGTACGCTCCCATCATCATAAACTCGCCCTTGACCTCTACCCCCTCAAAAAACCTCCGTCTCTCCTCCTCCTTTTCCCTCCCACCCTCCTTAACCTCCCGCGGCGGCTGCGAGAACTCCAACTCTTTAGTCTCAGGCCGCGGCGCAAAAGTCTTATGAGACACCCCCGCCGGCACAACAAAAACATCACCAAGCCTTGCTTCAATCTCCACCCCACCCCCCTCGGCATCATCATCCCTCTCCCCGGGTGCCAGCTTACCGGCTTCCCAGGTCGGGCTGTCGGCCACACCGAATCGGATCGTTGCGCTTCCCCCGGAGATTACGGCCATGGCTTCGTGCGTCGTGGAGTGGTAGTGCGATTGGATGTCGGGGCCGTAGCGCGCGATCCATTGGGTTTGCCAGCCGTGCGATAGGTAGATGGTGTGGAGGGTTGTGGGGGTGAAGGAGGGGGCTGTGACGAGGTGTTTGAGGAGGGCTGGGTAGTGGAGGAGGGGGAGGGGGGAATTCGGGATTAGGGGGGGTGGGCGGGAGGTGGTGGGTGTGTAGTTTTATAGGGGTGGTCGTGGTTATGGTTGTGGTTGTGGTTGTTGTGGTAGGGGACATAGTTATAGGATTATTATTATGGGAGTGTAGAGTTAGGGTTGGTATTATAGGACAGTAGAGTTAGGTTTAGTGGGTGTAGGAGGAAGTTTAATTGTTATTTATTTCGATCTGTGGGAGGGGTTAATGTGCAATTAGTAATGCGCGGTTGATGTTGAGTACGGCTCCGGGGATATGGTTTCCCGAATAGGAATGGGTGTTGACGTCAGAGTTAGTTTGTACCCGTGGACGGAAAGGATGCCGGGCCTGTGCAACTAGACCCGAAGGGAGTGTAATATGATTTATACAGACCATGGAGATACTATAAATTTACACCTTTTACTTTGCTTTGTATACTTAAAACTCCAAAGCGACTTTCCCAACAGCCTTGCCGCCTTCGATAATCTCATGCGCTTTCCTCAACCCTTCCTCATCAACCTTGAGCTTCTGCATACAGTGACATTTGATGGTCCCATCATCCAACATGCCAGTCAAGTCCTTTAGAATCTTCCCGTGGCTTTCCGCATCGACGCCATAGTAGGGCTTTGTGCCTAGGAGCGCCCACACAAAAGTCAGACTCTTGGCCATGAACTCAGTACCATACATGGGCATCTCCTTGTCCTGAACAATCGAACACACTTTCCCAAATGGCGCGCAGATTTTGGCTGCGGGGGAAAGATAACCAGACGTTGGTGTGTGAGTAATAAAGATGTATTTAATCGGTACCTCGAGTTTCAGTTTCTCAACCTCGGCGGCTATGTCTTGGTGGTGGTTTACTGTGTGTGTAGCACCACCTACATGTTTTGAAAATCTGACTGTCTCTTCTCGCGATGCGGTGGTGACGACGACGGGTAGATTGAGCACTCGACGTGCGATTTGGCTTGCTACACTACCGACGCCACCGGCACCGTTGATGATCAAGATACCGGCATTTTCACCTTTTTGAATCTCCATGCGCTCGACGAGGGCTTCGTAGGCGGTTATCCATGTCAATGGCATAGCGGCAGCTTGACCCCAATCTAGACTTTTTGGTTTCAGAGCGACGACTCGGGAGTCTACGAGCTGGAATTCTGCATTGCTTCCTTGGCGAATGGGTGAGCCGGCGTAGTAGATCTCGTCGCAGGGTTTGAAGTTTATGACTTCAGATCCGACGCTTTCGATTACTCCGGCACCGTCGAAACCAAGGATTTGGGGCAGTTTGGGGGTTCGCTCGTAGTAGTCTGGGTAGTCGTCGTAGGTGCCTGCTCGTACTTTTGTGTCGACTGGGTTTACGGAACACGCTTTTACGCGGACGAGGATGTCGTGGCCTTGAGGATCAGAGGGTTTGGGAAGGTCGAGTGTTTTGAGGTTGGTTATGGGGCCATATTCGGTGACTGCGATTGCGTGCATGGTGAAGTACGTATTCTTGTGTGATTTTGGTAATTGTTGTTATTACAATGTCTAAATTTTCTGATGTATATTTCTACATTTTCAACATCTTCCTTTAACGACACGCAAAGATGCCATCAGTGAGGATACAATGACGTCATTCACATGCTTGTATCGGTGACATGAGTAGTTTGAGATTAGAAATGCCGAGTAGTCAGCAACTCAATGACGACAAAAAAGTACCTGTACCACTGCTGATGCACATGATCGCGGTGCGATGCGGACAGCCGATAGACGTGGTGCACGGAATTGAGGGGTAGCTTCTCGTTGCAGCGGGCTTCGGGAGAGGAGACAATTCTGAAGCCTGGCGAATGAGACTTCGCGGGCGCCTTGGCTGTCATCAGCGCTGCCAGCTGCACGTCCAACCAAAGTGTGTGTAGAGGATAATTCAGAGTGTAATAGCGGTGGGATTTTTACTACATTCCGAGTTTCAGGTAGTTGCCACGTCTAGGCTTGGTCCCTTGATATAGCGTGGGGATCGAGCGAAAGCCATAACGGCTGGGCCGCTATCATGGCCCCCAGATCGAGGCACATATGCTGGGCTCGCCCGCAGCGCATTGATGGATATTGCGCCGCCACTTGTCAGTCTCGCACACCAACCTCTCGCTCGCCAAAAACCGGTTCCCACGCCAGCGCCCGCTATAACGAAATTTCCGACCCGACGACGGCCTGGATTATCGTCATCTCCACGTACCCGAATCTCATCGTGAACGGACGGCTTGGCAGCACAAGGCTACGGCTCCCTGCATCACCGACTTCAACGCTGCACCACGTCAACTGCCTGCGTATGCCTGCTGCGAATGCGCCTTGACACGGCTACGACCTTGAGCCGGCGACAGCAGCGTCGCATGCAAAAGGGCACCCACGTCTTGCGCTCGCAGGTAATGGCGTCTTCGTAACGCCAGAGGAAGAGGCATTTCGTACGGCATAGGCACAGGCACAGCACCACGCAGTTTAGTAGTCAGCGTGCGCTCGCAGTCTGAGCCCAGTAGCGACCATGCCAGAACCCAAACCCAACCCATATGTCATGCTCGATTCATCTTTTCAAACCTCATCCGCCCTACGCCAATCACAGCACCTACCACGCCGCAGCGACGAATACCGCACCTACTCCAGGACGGCAGCGCCCCTTAAGCGTGACTACTCGTATACCACACAGGCTACCGATACTACCGATGAGACGGAATCGACCTGTGGCAGCCAGGACAGCACGCCCCTGGCCTCATCGGGCGCATTGAATCGAGCTGAGAGCGGTCTGCCACCCACTCCGCCCTCTGCCTCACAGGACGGCAATTCAATCCAAGACCCGGAGCCGCCTCCACTGGCCGACAGCGTCCGCAACTCCCTCATGTCCCAGAAGTCGACCCTCAGCACTCCCGTCAATGCGCGCAGTCCGCCCACGCCCGATCCTAGCCCGCCGCGAACGACGGCTTCCAATGTCACACCCGAGCGACCGCACTTGCTTACCTACCCATCCTCGCGCGCAGACTCGTTCCAGACGGCGCGTGAAGAACCTCTCTCCTCGGATCGTGACGACAGCAGGTCGGTGACACCCGCACACGACCACCGACTGAGCACGGTGGAAGAGGATAGGGGTCTCGGACTGGCGTTTGAATATGTCCAGAATGATGTCACGCCTACCACCACCAAGGACCGTTATTTCCCCACTACTCCCACAACGCCCGCTACGGTCCATGTGGATACGACGGCCGGCGCAGAAGAGGACAAGGGATCCCAGACGGTGGACGACACCCCAGATCGGGAGTGGAACACAGACCTCATGCGCAATGTAACAATAAGAAAGAAACGCAGACCTCAGACCACCGACTCTCCCACCAAAATATCCGACCCTGCCGTCACCGTTGTCGAAGCCGCGTCTCCTACTCCCAGCAACCGGACCCGACGCGCCTCCAGTCTGCGCGAACGCGTTGAGGCGAGCCACAACAGCCCCGTTACGCCGTCCATCGAAAATTTTGCCCAGTCCATCGGGTGGCCTGCTGAGCCGGGAGGCATGTCAGGGGAGAGGTATCGGGATTCCACAAACAAGCGACTTTCAACCGCCTCGGTGGCATCGACGGTAGTGTCGGCTCATGTCATAGTCACCCCACCGCGAAGAAAACAAATGCTAAGACACTCTGGAAGGAACATGGCTTACAGAAGAGACGTCAGCTCTCCGGCTGATTTGGGTCCCAGCACCACTAACTCGAACCGCAACTCCATGGTCTCTCAGTTCGATGATCTGCCACCCCGCCGTCTGGTACATAAGAGGACCAATATCGGCGATAGATCCATACGGTCTAGCACCGACTCTAACATTCTAGGCTCCGACCGTATCATGTCACCCTCCCTATCGCTACGGCAAAGAACCATCGACAGTTCGGCACACACCCTCGCACATCAAGAGTCCATTCGCAATGTTCTACAGCCTGCGTCAGATATACTGAGCAGACACAGTTCAGGAGCCCGGGCTGGTGGTACCTATCACAAGCGTATCAACTCTGCGCCTGAGCCTGTGAAGCGTAAGACGCAGCCTTCGAAACTGAGGAACTTCTCCGAACTTTCACCCCCAGGAAGTCCACGCCCAAGAGAGAACCCCACTATTCAGGTACCCAAGGTTGAGCGAGCACCGTCACCCACGCTTTCACCAAAGCCTCGTCGTGCGTCACCTACCTCACGTAAATCGAAACGTCAGCCACCAGTTATTACTGATGTGAGACTGCCGACTGGCCTGGAGAACACGCTTCCCGACCTTCCGGACCAGGGTATCGATGGACCAGCTGAGCGAGATGTCTTCCTGGGTGCAAGTCATCCTCTCGAAGAGACTCGTGTACCGCCCGAATTGATGGAACGAGTCCGCCGTCTCGTCGCAGGTGATCCCACAGAAGAGCCTACGTTCATTGAAAATAGTCCGTACCCTGCTACGGCTGAATATTTGAACAGATTCTCGCCAATGGACAATGGGTCACGACAGATTCCACAAGGCTCGCGCTTTACAAGACCTAGCTCCCGAGACCAAAAGCGGGTATCTCCTAATCGGGACAACTTTTCTCTGTCTCCCGATATGACTACACGGCCCGGATTGAATGATCGCATGTCGAGTGAAGAGATGGCGCGCCGCAGTCCTGAGTGGCGCCGATGCTCCTCAGGGACGCCCGGTCGTGTTAGCTTCGATCAGTCAGCTTCACGGTCAGCGTCAAGGATGGAAGAGCACGCCATGGCTCGACATCTGTATTCACAATCAACACCCTTCTCTCAGTTTTCCGATACAGTCGAAGTCACTGAGGCGACGGCTGTGAGCATTTACCCTCACAACAACAATTCCCTTCTTGTTGTGCAGCAAATGTCTCGTGGTAACTCGATGATTCAAGAACGTCGTCAGCTGATGACTGATACCCACATGGAACCCCAGGGTGGGGAAGAGGTACCGATATCGCCGACGCCGCCCTTTGTTGATGCCAAGGAGAGTAATGCGGAACTTTGCAAGGAAGCACCATCGCAGCCGACCCTCAACTTTGAGCCTTCGACTCCTCCAATGCAGATCGAGCTACCTCAGCCTCATGGTGTGGACATTCCCCTTCAGAACCCTCGAAGCCCACCAAAGCCACCGAAGATCATGTTCATTCCTCCTACGCCGATGGAGGAGCTAGAGAATCAACTAGCACCAGGGCCACCCGGTTCGCCACAGCGATCAGACTCAAATCCTCAACGAAGGCTATCCGTCTTACAACGAGCACGGAGATATTCGGGCAATCTCATTACGCCTATCCTTGCCCGCGCCTCCAACAAACCCCGTAACAACGAACCGCAAAGCCAGAACCAGCAAAACCCTCGTGTGCCCAATTTGCCAGATGAAGATGGCGCTCTCCATCCCTTCTGGCGACCTCGCGGTTTCTGGGACGGCTTCTCAGACAGCGAGTCCGATGGCGAAGAGGGTGGTCTTCCAGAAGGCGGCGACACAAGCGACATTGAAGATGACGAGCCCGAGCCACCCCGACGACCCAACAAACTCAACAAACTCAAGGGAGGTCTCCGCGGCTCCGGCGGCTTCCTCATTGGAAACTCTCTAGGCGTGGAACGTCATGGCACAAATAAACGCCGCCATCATGTCACGCTCCCGCCAAACTTCCCGCGCCAACCACGCACCCGCTCAACCGGTCGTTCCTCTCCACCAAAAGTCATCATTCAAGCTCCCGCGCATGCTCTCGGTCGACACGGCGGCGGCGGCATCTCAAAGCGTCGTTCAACCCCCGAACTACGCCGCAGTCCTTCGCTCTCTGATAATGTGTCTATCGAGTACGAGCAGTCAAGGCGTCGCGGCTCCTGGAGACAGGGACGCAGTCTTCCCGGGTTGAAGAAATACCACGTCCAGTACATTGGGCTGTCGGGCGTTAAAGACAAGATTCGGGAAAGAAGAACAGAAAAGCGCAGGGAGAAGATTAGGAGGAGTATTGGTAGTAGATACTATCATGAGCCTGTCACCCCGGGTTCTGTACCAGGTTCAGTGACAGCGTCGTCGGAGTAAGTGAAAAAAAAAGTGTGCGGCGGTGTTTGGCTGGAGGTTTGGCCGATTTCTTTTTCTTTTTTACAGGGCAAGCTTTTGCCCCTTTTCCCTCTACTCCTTTCATGCCTCGGTTTTCTTGTTGCTTCTTTCAGGATACCACTGTTGTTTCTTCCTCCCTTCCTATTCGTAAGGGGTTCTCTTCTCTTCTTTTTTTCTCTACTTACACGCATTCTCGCACCACACAGACGCCGCAGTAGCAAGCAACATGGCAAACGCGCACCGCCTTGCATTTACTCTCATCTTACTCCTTTTACCGCGTATACCAACACTACATCAACTTATTTCTCAGCAACTTCACTTAACGACCGTAACGACTGCGTGGCATTTTGGGCTGTTTATCTTGCGTCTACTGGATAGGATTATAATTTAAAATAGAGCAAGTAGGGGGTTTAGACGCAGATATGAGCTTGGATTAGGAAGGAGAGAGGTGTTTTTTTTCTTCTCGTTTTTTCCTCTGGGCCTGGAGGGGTTATTCAATTGGTCTTTTTGGATGTAGGGAGAGATGGGGAGAGAGCTTAGGGGATCATGTGGGGGATGTCATTTACTGAGAGAATTTGAGTGAGGATATAAGGATGTGGGGTTGTATATACACGTACCTGTCTTGTAATTGACGCATATACCACTTTTCACTTTCTTGTCTTTTGCAACCCAAACGTGCACACAAAAGGGATTATATGTTTATACGTCACGTTAGATTATTGCACTTGAAGAAGAGAACGGGACAAGGGATGCAGAAGCAAGACTGTTTCCTACTTCATCTCACTTCCCTATACATATCGACCAGGGCGAGAAATACATCTGAGCTATGCATATACGCAAAACAATCGTCAAAGATGACTTATTCACATGAAAGAAAAAGACATCAACACCCAGGCCAACAAAGAACATAATAATGCATCCATTCCCTATATGATGTAGCCGGTAACATACCGTCACAAATATGCACACAGAACACATATAAGATAGGTAAAGTGAACCTCTATCCCATCCACTCCACTCCACCACACTTACAACCCCCTCTTCTCATCCCTCACACTAGCCGTATCCACATTCTCCACATCACCAGCCTCGCCACCACCCACATACGTGCTCTCCTTGAGGTTATTCATCGCATCCTCCATCTTATCCGCCTTGCGGAAAGTCAGGTAGAAGCCGATGCCGCCGAACATGGCCACCACAGCCACGGATCCATAGTTCCAGACGAGCAGCGGATCCTCTGATAGACTGACAAACGCCTGTCCGAGGGCTGCAGAAACGGCCGACGTGGATAGCGCAACAGCTTGAATGGTGGATTTCATGTTGTTGGGGGCTTTGGTGTATGCGTATTCTAGTTTCGTGATGGACGCCATGATCTCTGACATACCGATGAGTCCGTAGGGGAAGACCTGGACCCAGACGGAGATGTCGGCGCTGCAGTCTTTACGGGTTTTGCTCAGGCGGTTGATGTCGGAGCCGCAGGCGGACATGCTGTAGATGTAGTACTGGATGACGCAAGCGGACACCATGGCGAGCGAGGAGAGGGCGAAACCGGCAGTGATTTTCTTGATGGGGGAGAGTACAATTCCTGCTTTTCGCAGGCCGGGGTAGACGAGGAAGTCCATGATGGGGATTAAGATGACGATGAAGATGGGGTTCAGCTTGGAGACGATGTCGTTGGGGGTTTTGCCGAGGTTCATCGTGTTGGCTTGGGAGACGAGGTTGTTTGTCATCTGGAGAGTGTGTTAGCGGGTTGTACGTATATTGGGATGGATGTGAAGACTAAGTGGGAGTGGGCTTACCTGGTTGTATGCGAGCCAGTAGAGGGGGTACCATAAGAATACTTTGCAGGCGAGCAGGCCGCGCTTTACCTCGTCGACCCAGGCGTCGTCAAAGGTCATCCACTCGGGCACAGACTTGCCGCTGGCGCGGATGGCGCTGGGCTTGATGCGGTCCCAGAAACCATCGTCTTTGAACGTGTTCTTGCGGGGAGACGACTTGATACCCAGACCAATCAGCTTGAAGGCTTTGCCCATGACAGAACCTGTGGGCGGGGAGAGCTTGTAGTGCTTCTTCATGGTAATGAGAATGATGGGGCAGAGGAGGTAGCAGATAGTGGGGAGGGTGTAAGAGAGCCAGAAACCTGAGAGTGGTTATTAGCATACAATTCTTGATAGAGTCGCTGAGAGTAACATACCGACGAAATGTTCGCTGTAGACCATTGCAATGGAACCGCAAATGGAACCGCAGTTGATGAGGAAGTAAAAGTAGATGTAGATCCTGGCCGTTGTGGTGGCGGGGTCAACAATCTCCTTCTTTCCATTCTTCTTCACGCGTACGTAGGCCTTTTGGTCCTTGTATTGCTCGGCAATCAAGGGCGAGATATTACTTTTGAAGCCACCAGTACCGAGACCCATGACGACCAGGCCGACAGCGAAGACACCGATAGCAACATTTGGCTTAACAATAACAGCGGGGATCGCAGACATGATGAGAATGATATGACCAATGACAGCAATGAGGTTGGAGTACTGGATCGTGTTGTAACGGCCCCAGTACTCGTCAGCAAGCCAGGCGCCACCGAGAGGAGTAATGTACGACCAGAACTGGTTAAACATGGTCAAGCCGGTAGATGCGCGCTGGCCCATGTCGAGAGCACCGGATCCGGGCTTCTTGAGGAATCCAGCGCCGGTCTTGGAGCCGGGAGGGAGAGGCTTCTGGATGAAGTCTGGGGAATGGTCAGCATCAGAAGCTGTAGAAATTTCGAAGACCACTCACTGACGAAGACAGCACTGGTTCCATAGTAACTGAAGCGCTCAACAAACTCAACAGCAGCAACAGTCCACGCCTGCCACGGAATGCGGCCCGCGACCCTGGGGAGAGTTGCCCATTCCTCCTCGGTAGGGAATGGTCCTAGAAGGTTGGCATTCTCGTCGTTGAAGGAATCGGTGGAGCTGGCGTCAAGCGCAATAGGTTCACCAGCAGTGGCTCCCTTTGTGATCTCGAGAGATGCCTTGACATTGGTTAGTAGCCGCCATGGTATCGCAAGGACAGGCCACTGGTCAATCTTTGCTGTAAAGCAGAAGAAGAAAAGGTGCGAGGTCCAAGAAAATGGACTCGGGCATCCCACGTCGGCGGAAGGGGTCAAAAAAAACGCAATGGGTGGTGGACTTGAGTTGCCTAGGGTGCGGAGCATGTGTACCCAACGTGTCTTCATATACCGCAACGAACACAGCCCCATGTTACAGCATTAAGAGAGTTGCACAAGGATGCTCACGCAACTAGAGGAGGATTCCACAGCCAGATCCAGCCTTGTTCGCTTGTTGACCGTGTTATCGTGGCAATATTGCAAATCAACCAACAACCCAAGACAATAGCATCACGATCTAGTATCCATCTGAGTATACCACCCTCCGATTCAGGCCCGCTGCCGCTATTAAGCGCGCCGTCAAGAGCCACCCAAGGCCGTGGTAAACCTTCATCGAGATAAGAAGAGGAATGCGAACAAGCTGTGCGGGATTCAAGCACGGCGGAGAATGTTCGAAAAAGACGTTGCCAAGCGGTGCTAAGTAGGAAGAAGATAACGTCCGTCGAAGCTTCCATACGCGCGTGGTGTTTGTGCCAAGTAATTTTCCATCTTTTGGCCTTGTCACCTCCCCGTTCCGCCTTAGCTGGGGTGTTTGCCGATTGTGAAGGCGCCTAGACCCGCGGTGGGGGAGGCTGGCCAAGGGCTTGGAGAAAGGGTTTACGAGGATAAGAGTTTCGTTGTGGGATACCTCCTTCTACAATTGACCATGGGCGAGACAGTGGCTGATGGGGCGTGGTTTTGATGGCGTGTGAAGGGTGTGAGAGGATGTTGGGGTCGATGGAACCTCTTGTTAGCCGAACCTTGGCATGGAAGGTGGGATGCCTCGCTCGACTACTTTTGTACTACTCATTTAGTGCCTAGAACATGGAAGATATGTAGCGGAATTAGTATCGCACCAACCATGGGCATTGCATTCGGGATCTTTTTGCATTACTCCTAAAATTAGGTATGTACATCTGCCATATCAATTCTGTATCTCATGCAGTCGCCACCACTTATCCAACTGCCATTACCCGTATTTTCCTATATCGGTGTGTCCGATTTCTCTCGTTGGCAGCGAAATCTCCTTGAACTCTCCTTTGCAATATTCAGGGACAAACCAAGGACAACCACATTGCCTTCTTTACTCAACGTCCTGGACAGCTGCATCTGTACCGGACTCTATTGCATTATCCTTGGACTCCGTTATACAATCCTCGGACTCGGGGGGCTCTGGCTCTACGTTGAGTGGCTAGGCTTGCTCTTCACCGGATGTGGGAGTACTCTGGACTTGCTGAGGGGCAGGTCGAGTCTGCTCCAGCTGAATCCTCTGAAATCCAGTCGTTGATTCAGAGGGAAAGGTCGGATGTTCTGAATTGTGCGGATGTTGATTATGACTCCATACGTGAGGTGCTTGTGTAGGGAAAGAAGCAGGAGGCGCATAACTATCAAATGCTTGACGTTGTATATCGAGTCGGGTCTGCTGCTGGTAATGTGGCATAGCCGTGTATGGCTGGGGGTTCATGCCATACATGCTAGGAGGATTAGGGTGTTGCGGGAAGAATGACGGGCTGTGCGGATATGGCATCGTTTGTGCACCTGCGGGGCTATACATTCCAGGGTTCTGATTCTGATTGTGGCCGAAAGGCGCATTCTGTCTACCCGGGTGTTGCGGTTGTCTATGGTCTTGACCTGTTGCCCGTGTCCGCTGACCCCTAGGAGGACGACCGTGGTTTTTCTGATGATTATTGTGCGAATCCTCGTTCTGGTTCTGACGGGTCTGGCTCTGGTGGTCCTGGTACTGGTTTGGGTTCAGGTTCGGGTTCTTCTGGGTTAGTGTCTTTTCAAACTCCTTCTTCTCATTTTCATACTTCTCCAGCTTAAGGGTAAGGGCCTTAACTTCAGCTTCCAACTTCTTTACCACATCGGGCTTGGGCGGCTTGGGGGATGATGACTACGGCGGCTTGTGTGCCATCTTGTTCAGGCCGGGGGGAGCACGGATTAGGGCCATCTCCAAGCGAGTGGAGACGGTACGGGCCATGGCGGATTGCATGACGCACGAAGACGCGGACACACGTCTGTGGGCCCATACTAGCAATGCGCATGAACTTGCCTAACTCGTACGATGTGAGGAGGGAGGCGTTGATGAGGCAAAGCCGGAGTCGCTCGATGGTAGACGGAAAGTCCTCGTGACTGGCTGTGTCAAAGGGTCAGTGCCAAAAACTAGCAGCAGGCACTTTGCATATAGTGTAGTACCACGTCATGTAAGGTCACATACAGTGTAGATTTGTGACGAGTGAGTGGCTCATTCGATATGCTCACCGCTTGATAGTGCTGGGAATTACTTACAATCTTGTCAAGGTTGAATCTGGCGAAGAGGATCATGCGCTCCCAGTTGGATGTTGACATGCCCTCGTCATCTGTGAAGACCTCCTCAAGGAATGGAATGAGCTCTTTATGTACCCAGCCCATATCGAGGTATTCCTTGATGTCGGCCGGATTAGGCTGATCCATACCTTCCATTTTGATAAACATGTCGAATCGACTGTTATTAGCGTTCTGAGACTAGATCGTTGGTTGCACCTGGTAGAGAGAGTATTTATGGCGAAGTCTTGGGGTGTGCGGAGCCTCTTATGTGTTCCAGGGAGAGCCATCGTTCCTTTTCTTTGTACGTCATTCACACCCTAATCTCACCTGGGCAACCCACGAGACTAATGCGCATGGGTCAGGTTTTGGTGTAAGTGGAGGTAAAGCCCGCCTGACCCTCACCATGATTCCTTCTCGCATACCTGGCACCTCGACTGAATTACTCAATTTACTCAGAGTGAGCGCTGATACACCTGTTCCCATGCATAATTCCCTCATGGCTATTGGTGCTTCCAACCGAATGGGTATGGCGCCATCTGCTAAGTTTCATGGGATTGGTCGAGCCTGCGGGAATTGTGTTGAACGAGCAAACGTGCAATTTATCCCACGCCTACGTTTGTGGAGCCGTACATTATGACCACTCAAAGAAGCAGTATCAAGACGGCTATCTGGCTGCTTGACTGGCTTATCTAGGTTGATAATAGGTTAATACGATATATGCTCACCATCGCGAGCAAATTTGTGCTGGTGATGTTGGAGCAAACAAAAGATCCTTCACAGAGGCATCACGTCTTGTATGCAACAGTCTAACGTATCAATCACATAAGTAAGATGTCTATTTCTGATGATGCTGATTCCCCACAATATCTCTTTTTACAGATATCTCATTAGAACTTGTGAATGTTTTGGTTCATTCATGTCGGTGCAAGGTGACTGAATGAGTGGATTAGTATATTTTGTGCACCAAGGCTAATCTTTTTCTGGAAAGATAAAATCAGCAGCTAAAGACTTGACACCTTTCCAACATATCGTGATGAAGTTCAGTGATGCTACGTCTGTCCGGGGTTGTCGTAGAGGCTTGGCGCGGATCAGCGCACAGACCACGCACACAGAATTTCGTTAGCGAGACGGCTTCCAGCCCGCCTCTGTCGAACTTTACGACGCTCCCGACAACTCCAGCGACGACGCACCCGAACCCGCCAAATCGAATATCCCCCCCGATAATCAATCAAAATGTCTGGAAAGCGCGGGTACGTTTAGCCTCTACCGAGAGATTGCATAGCTGCCCATGCGGCAAATGCTAGATGATGGATGATGGTTAACATGTTCGTGCAGTCGAGGTTCTACCTCCGGTAACAAGCTCAAGATGACTCTCGGTCTGCCAGTGTACGTTTGACCCCGATACGATCGCTCCATACGAAACTATACGCGCTCGCGAAAGAAGCAAGATGTACATATGCAACAAGGAACCAGGCTAATGGAAGCACAGCGGCGCCGTCATGAACTGCTGCGACAACTCGGGTGCCCGCAACCTGTACATCATCTCCGTCAAGGGTATCGGTGCGCGCCTTAACCGCCTGCCCGCTGGTGGTGCCGGTGACATGGTCATGGCCACCGTCAAGAAGGGAAAGCCTGAGCTGAGGAAGAAGGTCATGCCCGCCGTCATTGTCCGCCAGAGCAAGCCATGGAGGCGAGCAGACGGTATCTACCTCTACTTTGAGGACAACGCCGGTGTCATTGTCAACCCCAAGGGTGAAATGAAGGGCTCTGCCATCACTGGACCCGTCGCAAAGGAGGCCGCTGAGCTGTGGCCGGTACGTGGAGTCAAACGCTGCAGAAGGACCCCGCTAACAAACAACAGCGTATCGCCTCCAACTCCGGTGTCGTCATGTGAGGTGTCTCTTTTCCTGCTTTCGATAACATTCATGGGTTCACGGGCACGGCGAAAATGCATTTACGGGGTGGAGGACTTGGGAGACGACATTGCAACTACGAATAGCAATGCGACGAACTTCACAATACCAGTCAAATGAACATTACGACCAAAACCAAGCCAAACCATTCCCCACGCTTCTTGGTGACTCAAACGCTTTGAATGTAATGCGCGATGGAAGTCACGGGCAGTTGGCTCTGAGCTAATGTGAACAATGAAAACTGATGCGATAGGAAGCTACAAAAGTATGTACTAAAGTTGGATACAACATCCAACTAATTGCAGGTGCTGCGATCACACGCCAAGGCCGTAAAGTCGCTTTCCTCGTCAACAACAACATCACCCTGCGCCCATCTCATTCGCACCATGCTTCTCGCATCCACATCGCGCTTTCGTCCACCCACAAACGTCAACTTCTCGTTTCCAACTACACCGGTGAGCACCGATCCATTGCTGGGTGCGCCAATGCCTGTGACCACACCGTTGCCGCCCTGCATGACGTTCGAGTAGCTCGTCAGCATTGTCTGCACTCCAGTAACAAAATCTTGTCCATCGAATTCGCAGTGGCCTCCGGCGGGCGTGTTGTCCACCGTCTGTAGCTGGTTGATCTGAGCTGTGGTCAAACCGGCATCAGTTCCAAGTTGCTCGTACGCTGCGACAGCTTGCGGGATGCTACCCTGAAGCAACTGAAGCTCACTTTGTGTAGACTGGAAATGAATCTGTGTTTGAGGAACAACCGTTGCCGCGTCCGGGAAGGGGACTTGCGGCGGCATGCCACCGCAGTTGAGCTCAACAGCAGAGTTGGGAAAGTTTTTCATTTGTGCCGGAATGAAGAAGCCAGACATCAAAAGACTGCCACCGCTGACACCAGTAAAGACAACTTTGGACATGTCCACAGCAACCCGCTTTGGTAGCTCGGTTTGAACAAAGTCGTTGACGGCTTGGGCGTGTGCAACACCGTCTGTGCGTTGAAGCCCAGAACCTCCACCCCAAAACAGGTTCTTGTTGGGGGCTAGTAGCACAACACCCATGGTGTTCGCTTGCACAGCCTGGTTAGGCATGTCAAAGAAGCTCTGCCCTCCATCACCATGAAGCAAGACGTTTGCTCCTAGGGTTCCATTCGCAGACGTTGCCGTTGCACCAGGAACACCCGAAGCAGCCATGAACTGGTCTGCAGGCGCAGAGATCTTGAATCGAATAGGTAGGCCGTTGACCATTACGGTGTCGTCAAGAATCATGGAGCCATCGGTGGCTTTTGAGATTCCTTGCGGGACCTGAGCAGCTTGTTGTTGAGCAGTCAACTGCTGGCCTTTGCGTTGCGGGAGGGCAGACGCAAGAGTGAGAAGAGAGAGGGCGATGGTCTTGTACATTTTGGCGTTTGGTTTAAGTGGTTGATTTGATGTTGATTATAGATATTAAGCGTGTATTGTGGAAAATATGGACCGGCCAGGAGAGAGAAGAGAAAAGGGTATCCAAATCACACACACATAAATAAAACCGCACGGCAGTACAGAAGAAAGAGGAAGACGAAAAACGAGGAGATCAGGACTTCATGTTATACTAACGCTCAACAGCTCAGTGTACGAACCAACCCACACTCCAAACATGCACCCGTAGCCAAGCTTCCATGTGCCATCTCGTAGCGACATGCTTCAGCCTCGCCGAAGCGCCAAAATCCCACCACTTAAAACTATGCGGCTAAGAAGGTCGCTACCAGCCTACCACAGCGGTGTTTGATGCGCTCGTGGTCTGCTGCATGCATGGTTTAGCATTGGAGACGGAGGTGGATGCTCGCGCCGTTTCAGAGGCGTCGCTTGGCGATACTAGTGTCACAGTTGTTAGGCAAACCGAGCGGCTTGAAGAGAAAATACGAAGGGTTTGAGTGCAGGTGAGAGCTTGTATGCCTTATTGAGGGGGTGGTGGAGGGCTTGGGAGGAGTGGGCTGGTCGGTTTTGTGGTATGGGGGCGGAGAGGCGGGGGTTTCGGTGACGGACGACAGGCGCGTGTGTGAATTGTAGAATGGATGGGATATGATACGGATGGCATCTTGAGCTGTAGGGTGAGATGTTTTGACTGAGAAGCATGTGGAATTGGTGGAATTGGGCGAAGGGTAGGTTGCGTGATGTGTGTTGGCAGCAGGGGGCGGGGGGAAAGGTGGTTTCACTTATCAGTTACCTTATTGGGGCGTTGAGGCAAGTAAGACGAAGTAAGCACTCAAAGGTTTGCTTGGATACAGGAAGCTTTTTTCTGGCAGGGAAACGGGGTGACATGGCTAGATGGGTTGCATGGGAGGCATTCGCTGGAAACGTGACGACTGCGCGACTTTGCCATAAAGCCGGCTCTCGAGATACCGGGCATTGCCAAGCGCACGTCTGCTGTGCTTGCATGATGCATCACGTATATATCCTAGGGGGATAGGCATACGCGTAAGTAAGAGTTGCAAAACGATCTGCCGATGTGAACGCGTACATACGTCTACCGTACACGTTCCAGATCCGAGAGATGGTGAGGCGCCACAGCCAAGACCGCACTCATTGACTTTTGTCATAAACGTGCCAACATTCCATCACGACACTTCCAGAAGTAGGTACCAGCGGACATACGTCGGAACGTTTCGCGGAAAGTCTATCTGGTATCGGGGACTAGGGATCACGACTTGAAACATCAACAGCGGTGGTTATTTGGTAGATTTTTTCACGTCAGCCGCTTCGGGCCGCTCATCGTACATATGCAGCCGCCGGATAAATTGCTTCTTGAACATAATACATGTATATTGTACAGGCGCGTTGGAACGCGATGATGGAAAACCATACAGTACGACCGTATTGCTCTATAAAATTGGTTGGTTGGAGTTTGCATATCCTATGGCACCAGAACAACGCGTTTGTCACAAAGCTGCACGAAACACCCAGCCTTGTATTTTGGCATCGATTCCGTATATGCTGCCAAGGGTATCATACAGAGAGCTTTGTTCTTACATTCAATTTATCGAATGACGCAGCCGATGTGAATGATAGAGATGGTTTCAGCAGACTTCTGGGTTCAAGTGTCTCGGCCTACGTACCACAATCAGTCACTTCAGGTTTGCGTTTCAAATATTGGTGTTGTCATTATTGTCAAATCTCTCTGGGCGCACGCTTGGCTAAACAAGAAATCTTGTTTGTCCAAGAAGAGAAACCTAGACATAGAAAGACGCAGCAAAACATACGACAGTGTACAAAAACACGATCAAAGTCCAATGGTCGCTAAGCCGTCCAAGCCTTGCCCTTATAGGGCGTGAATACTCTTCTTTTGGGTACCGTACCAACGTCTTCTCGTCTGTTTGCAAAGCTTCATCGGCAGTGACCTCCTTCGGTGGCCAGAAACAATAGCACAATGGAATCCAACAGCTTATCAGCTGGCCGAGCCACCATACTGGCGGCCATCCAATCCTGGTGAGTAAGAAAACCCACCGATCGTGGCCCGATAGTGTGGGCACCGCGGCTGTGTAAGCGGTACTGATTCGAGCCGATGAGTCGAAGCAGCGTACCAGGTTGAGTGCTACACCAAGAAGGCAAGCCAATATATAGCAGGCGTGTATCCACACCAACTGCTGCACAAAAATAGCGCGAAAGCGGCCATAAAGCCCCGACGGCTTAGGACCACGCTCCCGGATCTCCGATGACAAACTTCCACTAGGCGTAAACCCCGGCTTCGTCCCACCAAACCTATCCGGCAGCATGAACCCCCGAACAAGAGATAGCGTGTAGTACGGGACCAGCCAGATGTCAGCTTGTTCCCAACGCATACCATCTCTGTACCCGATGAACAGCGCCATGCTAGCTTTATGTGCCGTGTCGGTAAACACCCAGAGGCAAACTAGCCGCAGGAGCCATGCGAGCTGCCAGGGCTGGTACCAGACGACGAAGGGGTAGCCGGAGAGTAGAGCGAGTGGGTTGCCGATGTAGCCTATCCATGTCAAGCCACTGTTTACAAAAGAGCCTAGGCCGAAGACGAGGCCTGCGAAGCGTTGACGGGCGTTGCAGTATGGTACTGCTGGACCCCAGAGGCGGAATCGGAGCTGTGAATAGTAAGAACTTAGAACGAGATGTGATATTCGAGATCCTTACCTTGATAGCTGTTTGCACGTTGCCGATGGTCTGATCAAAATTAGCCAGCGGTTCCTTGTTCTCAAGTTGGTGCCTACTCACCCATCTCGTCCGCTGCTTGATATGTCCAGACAGCGAATCCGGCATCTCTCCACATTGCAGATACTCCTCGATGTACGCCACGGACCACCCTTTCCCTAGTAGCATGGAGCTACAAGCCGTGTCCTCGCTAATGGAATACGTTGGGAATCCACCAATGTCGTCTATTGCCTCCCTTCGTGCTAGGTATCCTGATCCAACGCAGTCGCCTGAACCAAGCCCGTCGTGCACAAGCTCCGTTACAGCATAGAAGTAATCGAGATCTTGACGTACGCGGTCGTTACGGGGAATGTTCCAGAAGTACTGCGGTGGACATGTCATGGCCAGTTTGGGGTCGTTGAGAAGGTGCGGCATCATCGCTCGAAGCCAGTTTGGTTGAACTATCATGTCGACGTCTAGGCCAGCTACGAATGGTGAAGGTGTATCGTTGAGCGTTGCGCTGAATGCGAGACCGTTGTTTAGATTGCCTGCTTTCTGGTCTTGGTCAGTGGGTATTAATTGGGGAAGGGTGTGTAACGCACGTAATCCGGGATCTCTGGTTGTTTGCGGCTCGTGTAGTGTGCGTGCGGATATTTTCGCTTCACCTGCAACATCTTGTCCTCAAGATCAATCGAACGACCGTCATCGCAAAGAATCACACTGAGACGGTCCTTGGGCCAATCCGTCTCGCACGCAGCCCTGACAACGTTGAGAATGGTGTCATGATCTTCTCCGCAAGCAGTGATCAACACAGACACTACTGGAACGTCATCTCCTTCAAGGTTGAGTTTTGGTCTTCGTGGACGGCGGATAACGAATACGCGGTTGAAATATAGCATGGCGCCAGGCAGATACTGGAAAAACTCGATGATTAGGAAGAACCATGCAAGACCCAGCTGGTAGTTGGTATTCATCTCGGCGTTTGCAACGCAGTAAACTCGGAAACCATAGTACGCGAAGAGAAAAAGAGGTGCCAAAAGGCCGGTGATGGACACAATAGGCCAGAGGAAGTCCGGCGCTACCGCCATGATGGATGTTGGTTTGAGAAGGTCAGCCTTGAGATGATAGACGACATTACGAGCGAAGGCCAGCTCCTAATAAAGTCTTGAGCATACATGGCGCTGGTAGTAAAAGCACCTCTAGCTCCAGTACGTCAATCTGCAGCACACACTACGGGGTCCCTACATCTTCACTATCGGAATTCGGAGTGAAGCGATGGTGATTGGGACAGCTGGAGAGCGGCGCGTAAGATCGTCGCAAAAAGCGTGTCTACGGACTCGAGTATTGCTTTTATATGAAGCTGGACCATGGATCGCCTTCTCTGAACTTGCGCAAGAACAATGAGCAAACACCAATCGCGCGATTAGCGATGGAGTGAAACAGACAGGTCGATCGCAAAGCCCCATAGGGGCCGAGAAATATGAAAGAATGAAAGAGATTGTCCATCATGCTACCGATGTGACCCTCTAAGACGGATTTTCCAGCATTCGACACTGCGCGAGGGCAGCGTCCACTCGAGCTATGTGTTCCAAAGGCGTACTTGAATACAAATGAGACGAGTTAGAAGTAGCAAAGGTTGCAAACATAACCTGCGTCCCGATCTGTTGATGTGAACCCGGAGTCGCGAAATGAAGTGTTGCGACATAGCTGCCATGCCACAGCGTTCAAAGCCGCTAACGGTGAAAGAAGAAATATAGACACCCCCACACTATACGAGCCGTCCCGATAATGATGTAAAACAATAGAGCAGAGCCCGGACAGGACGTTTAATGTGCCTGGCCGCATACGACCTGCGAGCGTTAGGATTTGCTTTTGTAGGTCGCGGTTGCAATCATAATGACATCAACGGGAATTGTCGACAAGACGAAAGAGGTACTCATGCCGAACACGTATGACAAACATGGTATTGTAGGCTGAATTCGCATGTCAGGTTTCGATGCGATCTAAAGGGGAAAAGTTGTAAGCATAGAGAGAATTTGAAGTCTGTCGTTATGCCGCATAAGGCAAACCGCTGACCCCCCATCAATCACGTGACCTGTCGCGATTACAAACACGTGCAATCTTTAGACCAGGACTACCACGCCAACACTCTAACTCCTCGTACGAGCCGAGGATTCGCCACGTATCCGTTAGCGCTGGAATCCACCGTTTTGTCCAAACAATTAGCAGGTTAAAGCGCTCGCGGCAAGCCCGGGAGATGCGCATGAATCTCAGGAGATTTACCTACCACTAGGTAGTCCTCCGCGCTCAAAACACCACCTTCTTCCTCACTCACATAGGGGGTTCACGGCAAACAACCCACATCCAGCCACCCTGCTACTAACAATAACCGCATTTCCATATTTGCATGATCCGCCAGCCCGGAGTCCTTGTCTTTCTGTTTTGTTTTGTTTCTGCGCTATTGGTCCCCGCTGATGTCGGCAATGACGGCATTAACCTTGAGAAAGTTTCCACTACCTCACCCTGAACTGACGTGACCTCGGCTCCAACGTTTCTCTGGTGGGACGCATTGTCCGTTGTTTATTGCGTAAGTATACGAGGGGAAGCGAACAGGTCGTGTCTTTCAGGGAAAATGCCTGCTACTTACGATGAAGTCCTTGACGGTTGCCAGAACAGCGGATGGAAGGTTTCTAGGGCGATAATGCACGCTTCGGAGCTATTAGCCGAACAGCGTATGTAACGCCACTTTCAGATGTCAAGTCAGGGTCCCATCATCGCTGATTGGAACGGACAACCCCTGCGTTTCGCGGCTAAGTTTGCCAGCAACCAACTGCAACAACAAAAAACTTAACCCGCTGTCACCTTCCCCCGAACCAGCAACAATAATATGACTACACTCCTGTAGTATAACCCCCCCGCTGCGTCTCAATATCTCATCCCTGAGGATCAAGTCATGGAATCTCGTATCCTCTCAATTGTCGGGTACCCGGCCCCTGGCTTAAGCGGTGCCACCAAACCGCAAGCAGCTAAACACCCTTTACCTACCATGCTCTAATCTCCGTTCTGGTCCTGGGGGCAAAAAGGACAACGCAAAAGCAAGCGGTGTGGGTTTTCACGTTGCGATGTAACCTAGTATCGTAAACCCAGGCACTTTCTCGGTCCGCTTTTTAACAGCGCGTGGCGCCAAAAATAGGTAGGGCTTGTCAATGCTTAGTCCTGTCTCCGCCTCGAGGATGGAAAGCCCGTTGTGGAGAATAGCTACGTTGCGATAAGGTAGCTTTCCAAAGTGCTGGATACCCTTTCGTCGTATACATATAAACACCCCATCCTGTTCCCTCTTTGCTTCCTCACCTCACTACAACACAGTCTACTACTACTTACTCTAATACAACCAATCCACATTCGCTTTACCGCTACCAACTCAACCACCACCACCATGAAGTCCTTCGCCACCGCCCTCCTCATCGGCGCCGCCGCTGCCGCAAACATCACCGTCACCAACTACCACTACGTCGGTGTCAACGGCTACCCATCCTTGGGCTTCTTCCTTTCCGCCGACAGCGTCGAGTGCTCGGCCGACCACTACGTCCCCGGCGTTGCGTACAAGTGCAACGACCCCGCCTGGTCCTTTGTTATCGATGCGGATGCCCCTGCTGAGGGTAACTCGTTCACTCTCACCCACACCGTTACTTGGTAAGTTTCCTTCCCTCCCCTCCCCCATTGCTTCTTCCTTGGTTGTTCCCATGCTAATGTTTCCTGATAGCAAAACCGCATCTGCTCACTTCCACATCCCCCTTAACGGTCCTATCCCCACTGTCCTGGGCCAGATTGGTCTCGGTGTCACCGAGGAGCTCGTTGTCGACGAGGAGCAACACGGTTGCTAGACGGTGTTTGCTGGAGACGGGACAGATGATTAGATTTAGTAATATTTAATCTGTTGTTGTCTTGAGAATATTCGCCTGTTAATCTCACGTGATGATATATCTCCGTATTACCCGGCCAAAAAAGTTGATTCATGTCGCTCCCTGCAGCCATGGTATCCTATGATTGCCTTCCTTGCATATCTGCATAGCATTCACACTCCTCCTATTCTATGATAGATTTAACCAACCAAAAAAAAAGACAGTTACTTTGTAACTGCTCCTTACCCGAATCGAACGAGTGATCTTCGCATTACAAGTGCGACGCTTTACCGCTAAGCCAAAGGAGCACGTGATATAGAAACTGAGAAGATCTTCTATACATAACGTCGAGCAATTGGAAAACAACGCGAGGAAATGGGAGATGGAACATAATTATACAAGTGGGACTGTGCCCTGTGTGTGCGTGTGTTGTACAACCAAACATTCTGTGAACCCTAAGTCGCATCACATAAATGCACAAGCCAAGTTGTATGCGTAGTTTCTGAGACACTTTCTAACATTGAAAAAATCTGTAGACTATTGTAGTTGCTCTATGCAACAATGAGAATGACCATCTATCACGAGAGGTCTGTAAAGAAGACAAGCAAATATCCAGTTGGTTTTCCTTTCACAACTGGTTTCCTTAACCAATCCCAAACGCCATGCTGAATGCTTCGCTTCATGAAAACAAAAGACACAAGTGAAAGGGATTATCTTAAGCCAAACCGAACACACCCCTCAGCCTCCTCCAGAGCTCCTTGCCCATGGCCCTCCTGGTGTCTTCTGTTCGCAGCGCCGCCTCCTTGTTCTCGCTTGCTCGGCGAAGCAAGAAATTCAAGCACTCAGTTGTAGTACCCCAAGTCATGCACTTGATGACCTTGGCCTGGGTGTCTGCCTTCATGGTTTCATCCTGCACGAGCGCCTGCGAGATCTCATCGGCCATGCCCTGGAGCTGGGCGTATGTGAGGCGGGGTAGCTTCTCTGGGGGTGTAAAAAGCATCTGCTCAGCGCGGATCTTCTGGGCGGCTTGCACGGAGGCCAGGTTGTGGGTGGCGAGGACAATGTTTACGGCGGGGAAGGGTGTGCCGGGAGTTGGGGCAGGTACCTTGTCAGTCCATTGCTGGCGGACAACGGCGTCGGCGCAGGCGTCGTAGTTTGCGTCGGTGCCGGCTTTGGTGTCGAAGGTGAGGTGCTTGGGCTCAGAGGTTAGGTATGCGCCGCGCACAAGCTTGACACCGGCGATGTAACCTTCCTTGGAGGCCTTCTCGAGGTGCTGGGCCATGCGCTTGGAAATGTCGCGTAGGTAGCATTGGTAGGTAATGTAGAGGACAGCGCGGCCATTTTCGGGCTTGTTGTACTTCTTCTGCAAAGCAAGAGTCCACTTCTCAAGACCGAGATTTGTAGCTTCTTCTTCAGCACCGGGGAGGAGACTGACACCCTTGGCGGCGGCGGCATCACAGGCGGCGGTGATGGCATCCCACATCTCGGGGGTGGCGTCTTGCTGATTTTGAAGGAGGTTCAGGGCGTGGCGACCAAGACCGGACCATCTAGATGAATGTTAGCATATGCAATGCAGATGATACCAGGGAGTACGTACTTTAGACCGACAAAGTCACCCTCCTTTGCCATGTCGACACTTTGGAGCATACCCTTCCTCCACACCTCGATCTCCATCTTGGTCTCCTCGGCAGTCGGCACCTGTCCACCCAGTACCTCGAGTGCATACTCGAAAAGGATTCCACCATAGCCCAGAGTCCTCGCAAAGTCGGTGTTCTTGACTACCTCATCCTTGTGCTCGCCAACGCAGAATTGAGCATAAAAGGTCTTCTTGAGCAAGTTGGACAGGACAGGGTTGCGCTCGATGCTCATGAGAAAAGACTTGGAGTCTAGCATGCGCCGTAGGATACCAAAGCATGCATTGAGTAGCATGGGCTGTGAGGACATGGCAGTGATGAGGTAGGAGCGCAGAACGGTCGATGTTGGTAGTCGGCCTAGAACAGCCTTGGACCGGGCTACTTTTGACTCTGGCTGAGTAGAGAGGAGTTGTGCGGTAGATACGGATGAGGCAGAAACATCTTGGCGTGCGCTCGCGCTCTGATGGACGTATCGAGGTGTCTGCGACAAGGTCCGTGATGTCTGTGATAGAGCAAGGCTCTGGAAGCGCTGGAAGTTCTGTCGTCGGAGCATTATGGCAGATAACAATAGTGTTGTGTGTTAGATGAGTGTCACTCAGTGAGGGAGCAAAGGCTTTTGTAGGTTTTGGTCAATGTTGGTGAGTGGACCCTATGGTGCTCGGTACCAACAAGCTCGGTGAAATTGGGCGACTCAGGAGGTCTTGTGACTTTGTACCAAGTGTTTGACGCCATATATACCATGGGTGATGCTCATGGCGACGCATCAACCAGGGCGCAATGCTCGGCTTGCGTCGGCTCGCGCTAATGATGCTGCTTGCTGAGACGGCGGCAGTGCAGATGGCAGCCGCATGCGGCCATGCTCATCGGCCAAGCTAGAGAGAGGCAATGCCGTAACCTGTTCCTGTGGAGTAACCTGTCTGGAGTTTGTCGCGGCATGGACATGGCCTTGAGTTTGTGTTGTGAGACGAAGCCGAATTGTGTGCCTACCTTTGTCGGACCCGGGGTATCCAGGGCACAATTGGCAAGAACCCGCGCCTGTGCCTGGCTGTGCCTGTCCTGCACCACCATTGCGACAACATCACCAATGCCTTCATCAACGCTTCATTTTCTCTCCATCTCCGTGTGACCTCAAATGCCTGTTACCCCACATTCAGCCATCTTGCGCTGCTCTCACTAGTCGTCCGCACAGCTCCCATCGTGATCTTTGCACCCTCCGTAGCCCATGCAGCCCACGCTCAAGCCTCAGAGCCGAGCGTAGCCAGCCGCGCCATCGCCTCCCGATCCTGCGCCAGTCTTCTTTGTTTTCTCTGACACCATCATCCCCACTCAGCATCAGTGGGCCGCATGCGAACCGATATCGGATCTTCTTGACGAAACGCAAATTTTGTAATGTTTGCATGGGCCGTACCATGATTGCGAGGAGGGCCGTGGTGGCTGCGGAAAGCGTCGGCGGACCCACAATGTACCGGAACCTCCGCTCTTCAAGTGCACGTCCTCCACACTTCTTCACGTCCTCCGATCGTTCTTCACACGTTCACGATAGTCTCTTTCGTTTAGGAATATCAACATTGGTCTGAAGGATTCTAGCTACCAAGGTTATGGAAATCGGCTTGGCATCTTCCTGTTGGTCTACCGGATGTATACTGAGCGACTGCCGATTGCCCCATTTTCACCACTTGTGGCTGCTCATCGACTCAATGCTGACACACTACCTGTCCCATGATCGCCGCTCCTGAGCCTGATGAAAAAACCCGTTTGGTTCCTTCGAATCTTCTGCCGCCGCTTCCAGGTTGGATATTCAATTGTGAAATAAGAGTGAGGATGATTATCAACGGTTTGCTATGCAAAACTGCGTGCACGGGTTTGGGTTCTGGCCTGGACTTGGAATGCTGAGACAGAAGTGGATATTGTGTAGTCTTCTAGGTGGCCGCTCCGCTCCGAGTCCTAAGGAGGCAAGTAGGATTGGTCTTGATCCAATCTCTCCTTACGTAACCATGTCTACCGCGGCTCATCACATATGGTAGAGCACCGCAGGAATAGCTATACACTTAAAATCACCCAAAAACACCAGGAGAATTTTGGAAAAAGCTTCCTATAGAAGCAAAATATACTAGAATTTTTCTATTCCGTATCACCTTTTCCCATTCCTGCACAGAAACAGTAGAGTAAAGGGCCTCAAAATATCCGCATCTATAGCCTAGCACTATCTAATCCCGCTCCAGAAACAAGACTATCAAATAGACGGTTTATTTCCATAAAATCAGCCTCCTTTTCTTTAAGCATGCTCAAAGCTTTGCTTTCTTTTCTCGGTTCAGACTTGCTTCCACTTTTTCAAGGATGCTCTTTATGTCTATCTTGGCGGACAGTTTGACATCCTGGCGTCGACCAAGTCCTCTCAATTGTCTGAAAAATGCATCAAATGCATTACCTTGAAGGTCATCGGTGGCGGGGGGTTCACAATGGTAGTGCCGATGGGCGAGGGACGGGTAAAAGCGACAGTCGGATCAGTAAAGCTGGCGAAAATAAAATCGTCCGAGTTATCCAATAGAGGGATATCACCTATTTTGCACTGTTAGATGTTGAGACTGGCGCATTTCCTAGTTGTTCGGAATAGAAAAAGCGGACAGGAGTAGTTTAAATCACGCTTGGTGACTTGGACAGCACTTGGGTTGGTGGTAACACCAAGGCTAGAGATGAGGGGGGCGAGACCAGCGGTAATAGTAGAGCCAAGATTAGTGATAGACGTGCTACTCTGCCTCGCATGTAGGTCATTGAGTGCGACAGAGCGGCCGCCGAGAGGAAGTGCGGAGCTCACGAGAGCGAGGGCCGAGACCGTAGAGACGGCGACGTTGGTGAACTTCATGGTGGGTGGTTGAATGAGTGTGTAGTAACCAGTGTGTGGTAATGAGTGCGTTGTAAGGAGTGTAGGGTAATGAACGTTTGTGTGAAGGAAGAACGAGTGGACGAGACGCTCTCCACTCTTGATAGAGAAGACTCGACAAGAGATGGTGTGACGGTTATGAGGAGAAGCAGATCACGTGTTGGTGGTCTGGTGCTGCTTCCCCACTTTATTGAGCACCTCTTACCTCAGCTGTATCATAGATACGCCATGTAAATAGACCCTGCTGCTGCTTCTGAGAGCACAGCACGAACAACAGAACACCATAGCAGAATACATAAAATTACTTTCTACCGCAACAGATGGGATTGTTGCTGTTTTCTGATCGGGAATATCAGTGTCCTTATAAACTACCCAGGAAGATGTACCTAGCGCTGAAAACACGTTAGAAGCGTCTGATAACGACAAACGACATTGTGCAAGCTCTTTTTACTTAGCAGTAGCATCTAGTTGAGAGTGTAGATCAAAAGGTGTCTCCTAATATTAATCTTACTAAATGCCCTGTGCTCATTAAGATAGGCGTGCGCCACTATGCTGTCCATACCAACGGCAATCAGACACAGTCCTCGGAATTAATAAAAGGCCATTGCTACGGACTATCGAATAGGATCTTGCTTATTCGCATTGTGCACGTGCGCGGAATTGCTTTTCTTGCAACTTAGGTGGGGGTGATCTTGCTCAACTTTGAACATGCGTGTGTCGTCAACTTACAGGCTACGATTTACATCCATACGATTGCATCAACAAGATATTCAGCAAAAGTGACTGACATACTAAAGCAAAGCATTAGAATATCTTAGCTTCAGCTGCGTAGCTAATACATGTCGATCATTACGGGTAAAGGAAACGTGGCTATGGCGCTAGCAACAGCAATTCAATGTCATCGAAAACCTCCGGGTCAACCATCTTGTCTATACCGAGATCACCAACTGGCACGTAGCTATAGTGCTTGCATGTTCCAGCATAAACGTTACAGCACTGTTGTTAATGGTTGCCTACATCACAGTGTGTACTGTAACCAAAAGATAACTAGGTATCGTAAACAGGTGAACTTAGCCGACGCGGCCCTCAACGGTTCACTCCACGTGTCAACATAGGTCCCTGCAGATCCATCACATCAAGACTACATGATGCCCAAGCGCTGGACTCAGTAAAGCTCGATGCCTTGCTAAGTGCAATTTCATCAAGCCCCTGCATCCTCACATGGCTTGCCAAGATATCATCGTTATCAGCTTACAGACCCTGATACGCACTATCTATCGCATTCAGTCTTACAATGAACCAAAGTACCACCAGACCATCTAACCGAAAATCTACATCCACCGCTCACACTGCATACTCACAGAACCATCACACAGCACCATCACACAGCACCAGAGCCCACCTCAGGAATATTCGCCCCATTCTGTCCCACCTGCACACCATTACTACCAACACTTCCCCCCTCCCCCTCACCCCACACCTTCACACCCGCACTTAGCTTCCTAAACGCCTCCAAAAAGTCCGCCTTCAAATCCTCCCAACTCTCCACTCCAACACTGACCCTCAACAACCTGACATCAACATCCACATCGCTCATCCTCCGCCACTCAATAAGACTCTCGACGCCCCCCAGACTAGTCGCATGATGAAAAAAGCGTAGACGACTCGGTAACGCCCTCGCCAACGCCTCATTCTTCATGTAGATACTAAACACAGGACCGAAGCCATTCGGCATCTGCTGCTTCAACCACCCCATATCCTTCTTTTGTAAACTCGCATGCGCAAGATGCGAAACCACATCCTTCACAACCGCACTCTCCTCCCCACCTTCCCCATCCAAACATGCCTGAAGCCAACCCACCAACTTCTCCGCACTAGCACTCTGTCTCTGAACCCTCAAATCCAACGTCCTCAAACTTCTAACACCCAACCACCCCTCCAAACTCCCCAGGACTGCACCTAGGAAAATGCGTTCTGCGCGCATCGTCTTGGCACGCTGCAATCCTTCCCTGCCAGGTAAGACAGCCAGGATACCACAAAGCATATCGCTATGACCCCCGATATACTTTGTCCCAGAATGCATCACAATATCCGCGCCCCAACGAAACGGATCCTGCAGCCCCGGCGGCGCAAACGTTGCATCGACAGACAACAGCGCTCCCCGCGCATGCGCGCGTTCAGCGTATTTGGCGATCTGGAAAGCTTCGCCCGTGGGGTTGAGCGGTGTTTCTAGGTGAACGAGATCACCTTTTCCGAGCCCGGCAGCGTCCCACTCGGCCTCTGAGGCATGCAACTCAACGGTGCGCACGCCATGCATTTTCTTGTGCAGGTCAATGACGCCGTGGCAGCCGTGGTAGCCGCCGCTGATGGCAATGACTTTCGGCACCACGTTTACGAGAAGGGCGTGGAAGGCGCTGAGGCCGCTGGTGTAGCTGATGACGTGGTTTGCGAGGCCATTGCTGCCGGCGAGGTCGGAGGCTGTGGCTGAGGGGTAGAGTAAAGGGGCTAGGATGGTTTCGAGGCGGTTGGTGCTGGCGGAGGCGAGACGGGAGTATATCAGTGGTGTTTGGAGGTCGACAAATTCGCCTTCAGTAGGCACGGGCTGGAGGTCATCGGGGTTGTGGGGGTAGCGGAAGGTGGTGGAGGTGTGGATTGGTGGGGCTACGTCGGTGAGTGTGTTGATTTGGTCGTCGGCGTGGATGCCGTGCGTCGAGGCGTGGTACAGCATGGTAGTTAGATGGTTAGGAAGTGTTAGCTCGAATTGGATGTAGTACAAAAGCTGCTGGGTCCCGTAGTAGACGGATGAAGTTTTTGAAGTAAGAGAGAAAAGGAAAAACTGCTATATTACTGTTAATGATCTATTGATATAATGACTTGTGAACATGTCGACATGCGCGCCCTAAACGCTAGACTTGATTGTTAACGCTATTACAGTGGAGCCGTGTCTGTGATTGTGGGCGTGTCATTTGGTACTCGTATCCGCGTATCCGCTCAGATGCAGATGAGTAAATGCATGAACGCACGGCAATGCTGGAGTGCCGACGTCATGTCGAGGTATGCTAGCCAAGTGTAGGGAATCAATGGTAGACAATCTGGTAAGCTGTCAATTGAGCGGCGTTGTCTTTGAGCCGGCATATGGACAATGACGAGTGCGGGGTACCACTGCCCCGCCATGGCGCCAAAAAATATCGCAAAGGATGAGCGCAGTGCGCATAGCAAGATAGGATTACGAGAAAATGCCATGATTTGAGAGTTTTGGGAGTTGAGTGATATATCGTTTAATCGTAACTACCAGAAGAGTTGTGGAACTGCACCGGCGACTGCAGCTTCCTGAGAGGTTGTCATTGCATGTGACAGTTGATAAATATGATAACTGTCGCAAACAGTATGCCGCCCTTTCCCAGCCATTTACAGAGTACCAGCGCCGGTAATAGTAGGCTGGCCGTCCTTGTACTTGATGGTGCCGCTTCCGCTACCAGTGAGCTCGATTGCTCGGACAACCTTGTAAGACTCGACATCGCCGTCGGGAACGCCGCCAAAGACAACGTGCTTGCCGTCAAGCCAGGAGGTAACGACGGTGGTGATGAAAAACTGAGAGCCGTTGCTGTGCTGTGTTAGCTATGGCGTGTTAATCGTTCGCATGCGGGGTCTTACGTGTTGGGGCCGGCGTTGGCCATGGACAGAAGGAAGGGCTTGTCGTGCCTGAGCTTGAAGTTCTCGTCGGCAAACTTCTCGCCATAGATGGACTTGCCACCAGTGCCCTAGACATGTCAACTAGCTGCTCTTACATGCGAAGTCTGAGAGACATACGTTGCCGCGAGTGAAATCACCACCCTGAAGCATGAAGTCCGGGATCACACGGTGGAACTTGGAGCCCTTGTACCCAAAGCCCTTCTCGCTCGTGCAGAGAGCGCGGAAGTTCTCAGCCGTCTTGGGAACGACATCGTCATAAACCTCGAAGTTGATGCGACCGGTCTGGGCTAGAGGAGACAAAAGTCAGCATTCGTTGATAAGCTACTTCCTAGGCTGTATCGCCGTGTATGACTTGAGACGAAAAGAAAAGTAGCTACCTTTGACCTCGCCCTGCTTGGTGACATTGCCAGCGTTGTCCACCTGGACTTCGGGCCCAGTCCAGGAGCAATCAAAGTAAGCTTTGATAGTCATGTGTATGCCGAAGGGGTGAAGAAGCGTTTGTTGACCGGAGCGCGAAACTGGGGAACGGCACGGAAAGCAGATAGAGCAGAGGCTCTAGGTAGGTGGGGCATGATGCAGCGCGGGGTGTCTGGTCTAGCCTGAAAGGAAGTCAGACCATGCTTCTTGGCGGTGAATCGTGAGATAGCAGCTTCGTGGCTTCTCCCATCATATGCAACAGGCCGAGGCTGAAGCACAAGGCAAGAGCTACCATGGGATTTACCTACCTTGTAAAGTTTCGGAATCCGATATGCAGTTATTGCTCAATAGCTGCCGAGTTCGACTAAGACGGCCGTGGCAATTGGTGAGGCGGAGGGGTGTGATGAAACCGCTATGCCGTGCGATATGCAAACCGGAAAGTTTGAAATGCAATTGATAGATGCAGGATGAAGTAGCTGTTGTAGCAGTTGCACAGAAGACTGGCGGAAAAAAGTCTGGATACCGCAAGCCTGGGCACAAAAGGCCGAATTGCGGAATTAGCGCGCTCGACGGTTCGGCGCGTCACTGATGATCGTTCCCTGCTCTAATACAGATCCTACCGCGAGACCCCTGCTTTCTACTTGGTGAGTCTGATGCTGACATATTTTTGCCGCCATGTTGAGGCGCATGCGACATGTGTTTGGATGTCAATCGCATCGTGGCACACGAGAAGATTTCTTGGTTGGACCAAGGTTGATGCTTTTGGAAGCCCAAGCCCGCGTCACGTGAATGCATGGAAAGCCCAAAGCTCGGATTGTGTAAGATTCATTGATGGCCCAATACAATTATATCTCCGTGTCACTGTTTGCACATCGACTCAGGTTCTCTCGAATAATTGACCTCTGAGTCCTCAGACATTGCCGAGCCTTGTGAGCTGCCCTGGAACGCTCGGGGGACCGCTACCGAATCCGCGTCGCAGGTCGATAGCTGCCACCTCAATACCACTTCGGCCACATCGACACACAACCAAAATAACGCGCACCTCCCCAAGATGGATCTCAACAGCTTGAAAGACCAAGTGAGCAATCTCACGCTCTACGACCTCAAGGCAGGATTCCGCAAAGCCCAAAATGGTATGTCGAGGATTGGGCGACGCCAGCTGGCCAGTACTAAGACTCTGTGTAGCGGTGATGAATTACACGGAGATGGAGGCCAAAGTCCGCGAGGCGACGAACAACGAACCATGGGGTAAGCGCGCATATCCGCATCGCACGACTAGTAACTAATGGACGACAAGGTGCCTCATCTACTGCGCTACAGGAAATCGCCAATGGGACCTTCAACTAGTAGGTTCTGCCACCTACAGACTTCTAGGCGGCTGCTAACGGCGCAGTCAACTACTCAATGAGATTATGCCCATGATCTACAAGCGCTTCACAGAAAAGGCATCAGAAGAGTGGAGGCAGATATACAAGGTATTATGAGCAGCCCTCATTCCCAACATTGCTGACCCACTAGGCCCTCCAACTTCTCGAATACCTAATCAAGAACGGCTCGGAACGAGTAATCGACGATGCGCGCTCTCACGTCTCTCTCCTCAAAATGCTACGCCAATTCCATTTCATCGACTCCAACGGCAAGGACCAGGGTATCAACGTCCGAAACCGCGCGAAAGAGCTCGCCGATCTCCTCAGCGACGTAGATCGCATTCGAACCGAGCGTAAGAAGGCACGCGCAAACAGGAACAAGTTCGGGGGTGTTGAAGGCGGGGCTGGCCTCGGTGTGGGTGGCTTTTCCGGCACCAGCGGTGGAGGCGGTGGCAGATACGGCGGGTTTGGCAGCGAGCAGGCAGACTATGGTGGTTACAGAGGTGAGGTTTACGGCGATGGTGGCGGCTTTGGGGGCAACCAGTCTGGCTTTGCAGACACCCAGCAGCGACGCGATCGATTTGACGAATACGACGAGTACGACGAGGGCGACAGTGCTAGCCCGGCCCCGGCACGACGGAAGGAGACTGCAGCAGCCCCCCCAAAGAAGGAGGTCAAGAAAGAAGCACCAAAGCCCAAGGAACCTGAGCCTGTTGTGGATTTACTGGCTTGGGACGATGAGCCAGCGCCCACGTCGACAGCGGCAGGAAAGCAGCCTGTTGCTGCTGTAAGTAACGACTTTGGCGACGATGACGATTTCGACGACTTCCAGTCCGCAGCACCCGCAGCACCAGTATCAAAGCCGGCCACATCAGCTTTCAACATGGCACCACCGGCATCTACCTCTACCATCACTTCCTCAACTCAATTCGCTGCACCACAAGCTCAATCTGCCGCGCAGAACAACAACTTGAGCAACCTGTTTGCTACCGTCTCACCACCACCGGCAAACAAGATGAGCATGCCCATGTCTCAGCCACCTCAGCCCACAGGGTACCAAGCAGCAGGCCCCAACTACTTCACGTCTGTTCCTCAGCCTGCGCCTCACTCAGGAGCGTCTACACCCTCGGCTATGGGCGGAAAAATTGGAGGAGGTGCTCCTAAGAAAGCAGGTGGTGATGCCTTCGCATCTCTTCTTGCTGGAGCCGCGCCAAAGAAAGCGGCGACGCCAACGCAGAAGGTCACCATGGGCGACTTGGCCAAGCAAAAGACATCTCAAGGGACTATGGGGTACTCCCGCAACTGCAAGTACGCCCCCCGCACAAACGCCACAATCTGGAAACAAGGCTGGCGGTGCTTTGGGCGATTTGTTGGGATAGATGACGACGACGGGAGTTAGTTGGAGATACAAGACCTGGCGTCTCACAGTAGGATTGTTTGATAGGGTTGCGCTCGTAGACGGCGAAAAATTTAGGCCAAAATTGATTTCTGATGCACTTCGGTGAAGCCCTTCGACTACAAAGAAAGCTGAGAGTGATACTTCTCCGCAAATGCGGCCATCTCATTGGTTCCATCCGAAACCCTTGCTAATCTTCCGCGTCCCACATGGGTCGGCCACGCATCCCCAGGGACCGCCGCAATCCATGTAAAGACGCGAAACATGTGAAAACCAAACCTCATCTGCTATACCCTTCCCCCTTTCTTTTCTCGTTTTCTCTGATCCCGCCTGAGCAGGCACATCAATGCAACTCTCGCGCTTCTTCCTGTGCGTCGCCTCGCTGCTACTTCCCGTCGCCCTCATCGGCACAACATGGCTGTACTTGTACCCAGTATTGCACGGCTGCGCCTTTCCTACACCCCCGTCGTCGTCGTCATCCACGAATCCGCACCACCTGCCTGCTGTTGCGCCGTTCCGTCT